TAAAGTTAGGTAATTGACTTAACATCATAAAACTAAAAGCTGACAAATTACTTTAGGGACCTGAAGAATTAACTTTTTACAATATTCGTGTTGTCAATTCAATATGGCTAGATTCCATACTAAGCTTGTTAGTAGGCTTTAGCACTGTGTTCATACTAAATATGTGTTCTTGTATCACGCTAACGTGACAGCGAACCGCACCAATTCTCTGGTCTCAAACCAGGAAACTCCTTATTACCAGAGAAACTGATTTCACTCCAGGGCACTGCCCAGAACACCCTGAAAATACTACCGAGAATCTAATCCAGGAGGTGCTCATCCAGCACCCACAAATGCAAATCGTAAGAGCGCGTTCCCATTATGTCGTAACATTTTAGTTATCGTTGCACGACTCGTCGCGTGTCGCCTGTTCCCCTATCACGACTATCTGTCGCGACTGTGTTGTGGACGTTTATTTTATCGTTGAACGACTGTATTGTCTAGCTGTGCCCACTGGATTGTGACCACAATTTATCGTTTCACGGCAGCCGCCTTGTCGTTTGCACGACAGAATCGTTTGAACTGCCATTATCTGTCGTCAAATTTTTATCGTCGGACAACGTCGTTCTACCTCTTCCCATTGTCACGACAGTCTGTCGTCGTAATGTCGAAAAAGCCGTGAACGACAGTTTATCGTGTTGTTCTGTGTTTGAAAACTTCATTTAAATATACAAGCCACGACACTTTAAACTGCACAACTATCTGTCGTTACGACATAATGGGTACTCGCCCTTAGGCGACCAAGGTCGTCAGTCAGTAATCTAAAACGGAGTATCATGTACTACACTTGCTGAAGTCATCAGTGGCGAGGTGTCCATATAACACGATTCCCACCGACTTGCCTAAAATTTTCCGCGTATTATCAAAAGATTGTACTAAACAACGCGCATACCCCAACACTTAAAAAAAAATCAAAATATTCACTATTAAACGCGTAATAACTTGTCCCTATGTATCCCAACCAATCAGCGCGAGGTAAGCCGGTGGATCTGAGGGTTCTATTTCATTCATGAAATCTACGCGCTATCTTTAAAACACACGCACACATTAGCAAAATCCCCTTTTTAACATATGGAGAAATGGCGACCGAGAAGAATTAATTTGCTTTTAGGCGAATAGTGTTCACGTAAATTTAAACCGTATTCTGACAAATTACTATTTAATTTGCTTTAATGTCAGAATCGTTGCCAGATGTAAAACTTTCTTAATGTAACAAAATTAGTACAATAGCAAATTAATACAAAATATGGTTAATTCGTATTTTGTAAATCTTAACGATAAATAGTGTTACATTTGTACCTATACCTATTTGAGCGTTTCTTTTTAATAGGGCTACGCAAAGAATGTTTATAGAAGGTCTTGGTAATTCGTAGGTAATTAAAATAGCAACATTTAGCATTCATGAGTTTGTTTAATCACAAACTTTCGTATCGCGTAGTAGTAAATTACTTTAAAAACTATAGTAATTTTATGTGTAGAATAAGTTAAGTGTGAAATGAAGTAAACTAGTATCTTGTGTGTACCAATAAGTGCTGTGTTTAAGTGTGGCCAAGGGGCCTTTTTAACGGGGAAAAGAAATTTTTGTTAGTGCTTTTGTTTCTTCAAAAAGTTAAGGAAAATTTTCACGCCTCGCCACTGGAAGCCATACATGTTTAGTAGACACAGTGCTGTAGTGTGCTGCTCGGCAAATGCGGTCGATCCCTAAATTGTCAGCGTTTATCTATCATGATGATCTAGAGGTAATAAGTTTTACCATAGGTAAGGATCGCAATGTTTAGATTTTTTAATCTGTAATAACAAAACAAGTTTTCAAAATGGAATGTTGACAGGGCTAAGTAAAATCAATCACATTAAAAGTATGGTTTGACTTTAAAAGGTATTCTTTATAGATTTCTCTTCGCTTATTATTAATTATTTACAATATTGCAAACAAAACATATAAGATAGATATAAATCTACTAACTTACGGTAACACAAATTGAATTTTTACGTAATGATATTTTTAAGGCAGTGACAAAAAAAATTTGATGCGTGCATAAAAAAGCTTTTGACTTATTTTGCATTGTCTATCATTTATTACACATGTATGTTCAGGATTTGTTCCGATTTTATTATATAAATAAAACGCTTTTGTTATTTAGAACTAGTACATCTTTGCAAAAATATATTCTCTCAAATTCACTTCCACATAATACACTGGAAATTCCATGTGTGTATACATAGAGACTGAAAAGTTACTTTTGGACCCTGAAAACGAGGCTCTAGTGTAGACTATGGGCATGAACACTCGTAATGTCCTTATTAGTTCTCTTCATCTCCACAAGATATAGATATAGGCGATAAGCATTTTCAGATATCAGTGCTTAAGAAAATGAAGTAAGTGATAGCTAGCAGTGACGATGAGCCCATTAAACGCAATTCCCACTCAATTATGTCTTTGGAAATATTTGTCTAGTGTAATACACTTTGTTCATCAAATCATTGGTGGGCGAATTAATAATACTATGGGTATTAATCCATAGACTGTTGCACAAGCAACTTTCCGTACAAAACCTTCACTGACTCAGGTTCAAACTAGCTTTCTTTTGAGTATATCCACTCTTTATCACTGATTGGTGGTGCTCGTACAATGATAGCTATTCATCATAATCCCACAGTCTGAGTCCGGTAAGACACGTATTCTATTTCACATGCATGTCGCTCATTAACACAATACAGACTCAATTCTAAGAATACACAAGGTTAAGGTAATAACGGCTTTACTATCCTAAAGTATGGTTACATCCAGAGAAACAAAAAAGTTAACGTATCGTATTCGCTAGATGGGCTGAATGTTGTTGTAGTTTTAGAACAAATTTCCAGTGGTGTTTTTGAATACACACTTAAGGCAGTCACCAGACTTACGGACACGGAACCGCATTAAGCCGGACAGAAAAATCTTTATGACCATGAAATAAGAACGAAAGTGACGTTTCGTATCGGCGAGCAGAAGCGTAAGCACGTTTACGCACTGTATCGGATTTGTGTTCATTCCGAATCCAAGATCCAAATCAATAAAACTCGGACCCACTTCGGATGTCGCTTGTGCACTAATACTCACTACTAGCACTTTGTGCACTAACACGCACTAGTATTGCTTATTTGGCAGTAATTGTTTCGGACGGATGTCGGACGGAGATCGAGAGTAGACCCCCGAATCCGAGAAAATACGAATATGATCCCCGTGACATCTCGGACCGTCATTTCCCGGATTCGGAACTGATACGCTCTTACACTCAACGTCTTACTCGCTCTTACGGAATGGACATAAAGGTTTTTCTGAATGTGGTGAGTTCCTTAAGCTTCTATGCCGGAAACTCATAAAAAGTGCATTTATGCTTTTAATGAACTCAAAGAGCAATATGATATTGCGCTCGAAAAATTCATGTTTCGTTTAATAAATCGTGTTAAGCAACTGTAAATGAGGTCATGACGAATTTCCTTTTTTAATTTCTCTTCAACTAATATTTATGAAACTCACTACATAAAAACAAAACTAACTGCCATCAAAATCACAAGAGGTAATGTTAAAAAATGAACATCAAAGTTATGTATGGTAGCAAAAAATTAAATCTAAATATTTACAATTAACTAAACTAAAAGTAAATGTACTGAGATTTATCTAAAGGAATAGGTACATGTGAGCAGTGTACTGTATGTAAAAAAATATCGCTGTACCGAATGGTAATTTAATTTAATTGCCCAAGTCCAGAGAAGGCTAACAGAGGATCGTGTTCATTATAAATGTCGCGTTCAAGTGAACGAGGTAAAAAATATCAACAAAAATTAAATTGTCAAGGGAGTGCACGAGGATGACAGTTTAACTACCGCGCATTCTGACAAATCTAACCAATCTCCTTTAAATTGGCAAAAACTCTACAAGCTTTTTGTTTCACAGTCTACGTTTCAAACTCAGAAGTTCAGAATGAGCTAACGAAATCTATGTATGTATTCACTTCATGGTCAAACGATTAAGCCATTTAATGAGACGAAAGAAATGTACGCAAAAAATCTTGACAACCAAGTCAGTAGAATCTGCATACGTTTTTTTATTCATTTATTTGATTCTCTTAATATTTTGACAGCTCCAGCTCACAATATAAGTTTAAGTTAACATCTTCGTTACAGGTACTGTTCAAGGTAAATGCCGCGACGGAGGCCTCAACACAAAAAAAAATTGTAAAGCAAAATTCACTGGAAACCATTAGGCCATTATACCTTATTTCAACCCTGTGTTTATACACAGAAACTTAGGTTCAACACACACAATCCTCAATATTTTTTTACAAACTTTATTTTTTAGTTACCAAACAAGTACTTAAATGTACTCACAAAATTTGTATTGCATCATACAATCGTAACTAAGTACCCTGGGTCAGCAACTCAAATAGCAGCTTAGACTGTCATTAAAGCCCGTATTGATAAATACCTTTGAAGTGAGGTATTACAAATGGATGCATCTGAACTACCTCTCTATTAAAAGACTATAAAAAGCATCTTGAATCATAAAATCGAATAAATCACCTGGACTATGTATATGATCAATTAAATTAATAACGATTCCGAACCTTAAATTAAGTACTATGAGACGTTAATTAATAAGTGACAGTAATGTGTATGTACTTAAGATGATTTCAGCAAGTCCAGTCAAATTAAAATGATCTTAATATTAATTCTACACTTGAGATGGATTTATCAATACAAGCCCAAAAAACAATATCCTGTTCCTTTTGTACCATTCAACTACTAAGATTACACTCAGGGCTTTGTTGACTTCGTGCCTCCAGTGGGACCTGGGAAGTTCCACTAGGGTAGAGACCATTGTACAACAAATAATGCCTAATTGAATGATATTGGAATCCGCCGAATAATTCATCAGCTTTTAAACAGAATAGTATTGTATAAGATGTTCAAAAGGGATCAGAGAGTCACAAGAGCCAAAACACCTCAACAATTTAAACCTATCTACCCAATTTATCTAAATTGCAAAACAATTACAACTTTGACAACTTACCAGAACAATGATGCATATTTAAAGAGTAGTGCTTCACTATTTAATTAAACCTTGATAAGATTATTAACACCAAGTCATATAATAAAACACTGTACTAATTTCACTTCACTACATGATAGTGCCGAACACACGTCACCTTACAATTATCATTCGAACTTTATCTTGAACTGTAATCCTGCCTTGTAATTGTCAAGCGTTGTTATAACGTCTTTTATCGTTACGTTTTGGTCTAGCTTCATTACGCTTAGTTCTGTTATCTACACGCTTAGATCTTTCATCATCACGCTTAGATTTTACATCGTCACGGTTAGACCTATCATCGACACGTTTAAACCTGTCTTCCTCGCGCTTAGGCCTGTCCTCGTCACGCTTAGGCTTCTCTTCGTGAAGCTTGGACTTGTCTTCGTCAGGCTTAGACCTCTCTTCGTCACGCTTAGACTTCCCTTCATCACGTTTAGGCCTGTCTTCGTCACGCTTAAATTTCTCATCATCCCACTTGGATCTCTCATCATCATTTCTAGTTTTATTCTCGTCGTCTCTAGAAACATCGTCTTTCTTATCTCCTTTGCGTTGACTGAGCTTCTTCTTCATGTCCAACAACATTTGTTCGAACGACATGTCATTGTCACGTCGTGGTGGAAGCGTACCCGCACCGTGGAACGCAGATTCTGTGTATTTTGCTTCTAGGCCATCTGTAAATAAGAGGCCAATAGTGAATTTCTTTAAATGCAAACTATCATCTCTTTCTCAATTATCACCTTTTCAAAAGTGATTCATGGAGAAGTAATAAGCATATTCCATGGTAGAATACATTAAGTATAGTCCACTGCAAATTTATTATTCCAATCATACTGATAATACAAAATTATGAACCATCGAGTATATAACCAAAAATAGAGACGAAATAAGGGCCACACATTCCTGGTAATTCATCAGTCAACTGGGACAGATATCATTTATAAATATCAACTCTCGTTTGCACTGTAATATAGTACAGTGCCAACAAACCTGTGTGGACGTCTCCGTATATTCGAAAAATATTCTGTATTTATTGCAATAAAGATATCTGTAACAATAGGGGGCTGTTCTATTTGGTGGTGTGGAAAAAAATAGCAAAATATCTAATTACAAAACAAACAGAATCACATTTCATCGGTAATTAAATATTACATTTTTAAATTTTCCTCATTATAGCATAAGTCAAATGGTCGATTTGGTTATATACTCTATGTGAACACTATTAAACCCATTTATGATGGATCTGTTTTCTAAATCGATAATTTAAAGGATTAAAATTTCGAGAAATGACAAGTTACCAACACCCTGTGGAATTTTGTTAACCACTAACTGTGTATGACTCAAATGCTTACCAAGATCAGCATAGCTCTGCCTGCAGAAGGCCCTGCGGCCGCCGAAGCCAACGTCATACTGCGGGAAGGTACCGGCAGCTTCGACGGCGGACCAGGCATCGCGTGCGCGCTGATAGGTTACGAAACCATACCGGGATCTGAAGATGATTACAGACAAACTTAATATACAAACAAAAGACCATTGATTGAAGAACCTTGGGGTCATCAAGCTGAGCACAGAAAATATATCATGCCAATAGAATATCACAAATTACGGTGGACCAAATTACAACAAAGACCAAAGAGAGAAGCAAATTCATCATAAACCATATGCATTTATTTATTTATTTATGTAAAACTTTACACATATCATTATGGTCATAACCAACGCGATAGTGAACAAAAACATATGTTGCTACCTATATATTAAATCCATAATAAAAAGAAACTAACAATACATGTAATGTACTATAAATTATAATAATACAGGTACATAGCAAAATAACGTATAGTGTTATTCTTGGGAACTCACACAGACTGTGGAATTCTCTTCTTGAATCGATTCAACATTTCCCTTCTCTTGATACCTTCCAGTTTCAGTTTCGTCTTTTCTCCACTATCCTTTCATTTATTTACTACACATATACTACATTTTTCTTTAAGCATTTAATATTATTATTCATGTATTGTTATATATTAATAATATTAGTTAATATATATACGTATGAGTTTAATAATAATTATTACGTAGTTTACTTATAATGATATTCTTTGGTTGCACTTGTTTCGCATATCGTTAATTTCTATACTAAGGTTGCCTGAAAGAAATTGCTACATAGCAATAACTTAACTTAATTTAGTTTAACTTACTATCCTTATACTCAAGCTACTGTATTGTATTTTAACTGTAATTTTATGTACAATAATATTAGATTGTACAACATGTGCATAAACACGTCATTTCATCCGAGGCAAGGGAAGATACTTAAGTCGAGGGTAAAATGGGTTTTGTGTATGAGTTATACACTCTGCTTTTAATTTCGATTGCGAGGAAATTAAACCGCAACATATTATATATTACAAATAAACGATTATTTAATTAAAATTGAATGTAAAATTACAACAATTAGACATATAACACGGATTAAAAAATAAAAGTAAAACTTTATTTTATAAAGTTCTAATGTGCGTGGCTGTTGGCGCAGGCGTCATCGCCTCGGTCTTAAACGACGATTTTATTTTATGCACTAGAGCATAAAATCCTATTTTATGCAGCCTACGCCCAGCATAAATACGAACTTTAAGAACATGAGAAGTAAAAAGAATATTTCATTTTGTTTTTGTATTCTTTATTTCATTCATTCAGAGTATATGAAAACAAGTCTATTGTGTCTGCAACATCATTCAGGAATCGGAAAGCTCTTGTGAGCGGGGTCTTCTGGCTCAGATTGTGTATGGTTTACGTCAGTCTTTAGAGTCGTGTTCGAGGTCAAAAGGTTAGTACGTTTGTTATACATATAGATATATGATGGCAATCTCGGTCCCTCAAGTAGAATGCAACGTTTTTCGCATAATAAAAGCCGAAATTGAAGTCAATCTAATTGAAAAGGTCTTGTTTACACCGAGTCGGTTGCCGTCTCTTCGGCAAGCGAATTCTCCTTTTTTTTATAACATTAAATGACGGGACGAGCAAGTCGTGCGCGTGATAGTAAGCTACACGCCTGTCCATAACAGTTACAGTGCCACTCAGAGTTTTATATTGCAAAGACATAAGGTGCACTACCACTGCGCCCGTCACCCTGAGACGTAAGTTGATAAGGTTGATAAGTCCCATGTGCCTGGAATTTCACCAGCACCTTTACCCTTCAAAACCGGAACACAGTAATGCTGACATTATTAATTCGCGGCGGCTCCCTGTTTTAACTCAACTCATCAGATGCATTCCACAAAATTTCATTATGTCGGTATAATTCAACCAATAAAAGCATTTCACTATTTATCGAGTTCTTAGGTTTTCGCGGTTGCTACACATGTGTAGTATGTTTTTTCAGACAAACCAACGTTTCGGGCTTTTGCAGGTCCCATGGACGCGGGTGACTGAGGTGGTAAAGTCATCAAATCAACCTGTTATGTCTAATATTAATACAAACCATCCTTATTATTCACTATTGTTACAAAAGTTATTAATTACCTAAATTTTAAATTTTTCCAAAAAAAAGTTTCGCATTAATATTAAACACAACTAGTTGATGACCCGACACATTGGTTCATTTGAAAAAACAAATATACGCGATTTGTATACGAAAAAAAAAATAATTTCCTACTTCACTATTTTCCATCTTTCATTATTCATTCGGTCATTATAAATACAACGCAGATACACAACAAGTCGTTCGAAACATTCAACAAACTAATCAGGTAGGTGGGTATTCCCCGGCTGTCGCTGCACACCGTGTCCGCAAGAGGCAACCGAAACATAGAAACGTATGTCTACTGTCGCTTCTCGAAGTTGACCGCATCGCCCGACAGTGACGCACCTAGTCGACTAGGTGGACTCCGGCAGCGAACTTCGGTCTCTGTGTTTACACTGAGTCGTTTAACCTAGTGTAAATGCGCCATTAGCCGGTTAGACGGCAGCAAACCTATAGTTTAAATCACATCACACGCCTCATGGAAGAATGGCATAAGTAGAGTTACGTCGAACACGTTTATTGTTCCATTAGATACAGAAAAATATAACCCACATTCTTTCCAATTTTTATAACTATATCGACTAATATTGTAGATAGAGTTGCAAAAATTGGAGAGGATGTGGATATTTTTTTCTATATCTAAAAGAGCAATAAACATGTTGATGTAACTCCACTATGCCATTCTTCCATGAGGGATGCGACAAGACACTTACCCATCTTCCTTGCTATGTAGTCGCACTTCAATGACTGGTCCAAACTTGGAGAACAGCGAACGTAGAGTGGACTTTACGACATCCTTCTCGAGCCGGCCTACGAAAACGATCCGCCGCTCTTCCACGGGTGTGTTGCTTTCTCTATATTAAGTTAAAATTTTCATAAGCACAATCAATTCATTTATGTAGAACCTACACAAGTTTATTGGTGACCTTATAGAATGTAATGTTACCTTTTCTAGGTTCAGATATGAAGTAATCTCAGTACAGAGTACTAAAAAAACCGACATCAAAAGTTCGTGGAATTACGTTTATTTGCCAAGTTTTATTGAAATCGGTTACCGGAAAGTGCGCGAAACCGGATGCATCACCTAGTCTGCCACCCTTAGAGGCGGAATATTTTCTTCAAATTTAAATGGGACCCTACCGAGGTACCCACTTTCCAACAAAAAAAATTATCAAAGTCGGTTCACAAATTTTCGCAGAGTTATCGCGTAACATCATGCAAAAAGTATGAAAATAAAATATACTGTCGAATTGAGAACCTACACATTTTTTTGAAGTAGGTTAAAAAGGAACGGTATACTGGAAATAGACCCAAACCAAACCAAGCTAACTAATGAAAACTTAATATTTTTATTCATTCTTTCTGCTAGAGCCATAACATAAATCTAAGAATATTAGTTTTAAAAATCATTTATTCCATTAAATGTAAAAAATTCAATTCATTCAAAAACTAAATTAATTACATAGTTACGTCAATCCGCAACGTGGGCTTCGTCAGGAAGACACAAATAAAAAATAAGCAACGCAACATAAAAATTAACCATGCAATTCGCCAGACTTGGCCATTTTTATCCAGCTAGTACAATGAAAAAGGACCGCTCTGAGGCAGTTTTAAAATGGTGCTCCATGAGGAGCAAATTTTGTTTACATAATTTTCCAAAAACTAAAAATATTCTTACCTATCTTCTGAGCTGTTTGGACTATGATATCGCTTCTTCCTACAGTCGTCTCTCCTATATGGACTACAGGATCTCCTGGACGAGGATCTGCAAGACTTTCCCGACTCGCCTGAAGAACTAGACGACGACGAAGAAGATGAGCTGAAATACACGGAATATAATGCATTAAAGGTCATGGTATCAAGTCCGCTGATGAAAATAAAAATTATGTGAAGATATGACATACGAAGAAGAGTTTAAAAAAATATCTGTTAAGTCACATTTTATGTTCGGTTAGATAAATTGTTAACATGTAGGTAACGTAAAACCCGTAAAAGACATTTTAAAGGAATGCCTGTATATATCTGCATATAGAAAGTTTATAATGCCGAACGTTTTAATAATGGTCTTTATTATCAGACAGCTAAAAATACCTAAATTATAAATTACCGAAAGACCGAATTACCAAAGCAACATCAGTAAAAACGCAAAGAGAATTTTCGTTCTTTAAAGAATTCAGAAAAAAAATTGTATTTATTTAATCATCAAATCATCGACATACGCACACTGAGAATTATAACGTCACTATGCAAATAACTATTTTTTTTTTTTTTCAATTTGTAACGTCATCTTGGATTTGAGAGTACGTACTTTATAATAATAATATAATTATTTATTCAGACAACACAATTCTTTTTTGTGGTCCAATAGTGTTAGTAACTTACAAATATATAACTTAAAAACTAGATTAGTGGTAATAATAATAAATAAAGTTGCAAAAAAATAATTAAATTATAAAAAGTGGCAGTAGACTCTCAGATCTCTCACCCGCACCAAACCCAATAGTATCTTGTGAGACTATTTGATCAGGACCCGAATGAAAGATTTCATAAGGTTCAAAGTTTCACTACTCTAAATCAAAATTTTGCATTGTGTCACTGTCATTCCCAGTGTGCGAATATGTTCCCAGTGTACACATGTTATCAAACACATATCGTCGGCTAAATTAGAAAACTTCGTTTTTGGACGGAATCCTTTTTTTACTCTTCAAGCGCAATATCGGGCAATGCAAGCTTAGAATATATTTGACCCTTTTTTTTACTTTTAAAAAAGATATAATCATTATTTCTACTAATTCTGTTTTGTCTACTCAAAAGTTCACATTAGTTATTAGGAGGTACAAGGTTTACGAATTTTTACTGGTGAACGGGAATCCACAAACTATTGGAACTAGTGACAGGCAGTGTGTTAAAACCATGTTAAAACCCATTCAACTCGCTCGGGTTTTTACCCAAAGGCCGTGGCCGTACGGTTACCATGCCGGACTGCCGCGCAGAGGTCCCAGTTTCGATTCCCAGGCCGGGAGAAATATTTGTATGGCCTACATTTATTTATCTCGTGACTTTGGATGTAATTTGTGGTTGTCTATGTGTGTGTCCATGGCATCCGCGACACAGGGTTACCCTAGTACAGGGCTATGATGAGAGTGTGCGTTACTTATTTATTTAATTCAATATCTGCCAAAAGTCGTGAGCGGAAACGGCGAATACGGATTTTGGTTTAATTCCATACGTATTACAAATTTCGATGTAAAAAATATTTTTTAGACGAAAAGGAGGCAACTCCACACAATATCCACCTTGCAATCCTGCATATTAAGGATTGCACATTCCGACTCCATTTTTTATGAAAATCGATTCAAGTGCATAGGATCTAACCTCAGGATGAACACATCGCCATAGACACAACTTCAAGATAAAAAAAAATATCGCCTAACTTAAACATAATTTTTTTATCGTTCTTATTAGAAGATAATGCCTTTGTTTTAGGGTTTAGGACAAATTATTTGTCTCCGATGAAAATTTTTTTATTTTTTTTTTCAAATATGTTTCAAACTTTAAACGTAAACTCTATGCTGCTACCTTTTAAAAGTCCATTTTTAAATTTGATTGGTTTAATGGGTTTCATTTTGTGATTAGTTTTTAATAATCAATTCTAACATGACATCATATAACTCTTTATCTTTGTGAGTACAAAATGATAGCGTTTCGAGATTTTCTTTTTATTAGGTACGGAAACGTTAATTGTATATAGTCAATAGTTTTTAAAATATCACAGGTTTTTTTTTAGAGTTCCCATCCACTGTCCAATGGTTTGTTTCCCTCAAATGTAATATTTGTTATGTATACTAACTATTTATGTATATATGTTAACTATTTATCATATTATAATAGTACTAAATATGCTAAACACTTTTAATTTGTACAAATTTCTCTGGTAATCTGTATAAAAAAACACAGTTGGTTCTTTAGGCATCGTCAGCGTCTTTTTTCTCACAGTTTATCATTTTTCTTATAAATTCCTTCGAAGATATATTTGTCGCAATATCAGTTAAGTACTACATAGTATTAAATTTGATACGTCGCACCAAGGCTGTTAATATGTTTTTTCTTTAAAAATAATAATATATGTTTTGTGCAACATTTACTCTATCAATCTTTAAAAATAAATTATAGTAGTTGTTAGACATTGCAATCAAAGCCTTGTGAAATTAGGTATAACCCAGTCAGCCGTGACCATGGGGACCACTAAAAAGCCGTAATTGATTTATTTGAATAAAAGTACGCGATTTATATCCGAAAAAATAGTTTTAATTTCCAATTAGGTACAAACTTTAGTAATATCGAATAATAATCATGTTTAATCATAATCCCTTTTTCAACTTAGGCATTTTGGATTGAGATGTAATGATAGTATTCTGAATTTGAATTGTTCTATTTTAATGGCGGCCAATAGGTTTGTGCCAGTATCGGTTTTATAAGGTTATAAAAATTATGGCGGTCATCGCCAGTGTCAGTTTACTACAACAATTCAAAAAAACTGTTTAGGCGGAAAATTACTAAATGTCACTATGACATATCATGGCGACTGGGTTCGAATTCCATTTAATTTATTTATGTTATTTTTGTCTAAATAATATGTTGTTATTTTAAAAACCTCTGCACCCATTTGTTAAGCATTTATATTATTTTCGAAATGTAGAAATTCGTTAATCACACATTATTTTTCTTTACATATACGGGTACGTATTATGCTAATAATGAGAACGAAAATTTATAAAATTAAAATAAATTAAATTAATTATTAAATAAATTTACTTCGAATTTTCGATAAACAGATAAATCTTATAGTACCTAAATTAAATGTGACTGAACAGATTGTTTCCCCTGAAATAATGTACCTGTATGATGTACATGTAACCTAGAAAAAGTAACCAACACCAAGTACAACAATAAATATAACATATTGTGAAGACTTACCTAGACGAAGAAACCGAGCTTTCTGAAACGGTCGGTTTGCGCGGCGGAGGTGTTATTGACTTCTCCAATTTTCTATCGACAATTTTATGTGGACTCTTCTTTTTAAGCGGACTCTTCGGCTCGATCACTTTTCTTGATCGAGAACACTGTGACCGATACTCCCGACGTACCGATGGCGATCGACGGCGATAAGGCGATCTGGACCTACGTTTTCTTTTATACGGAGAATCTGAACGACGATAGCGTCGGAACCTTCCACGAGAGCGAGATCTACTTCGACTACAACTTCTGCTATGGGAACGACGTCGCCTACGACTTCGGGAACGAGTTCGCGATCGCCTATATTTGTCATAGCGATTTTTTGACCTCGAACGCTTCTCTACGGACCGCGACCTATTCCGAGATGGACGCTCAATCTTCTTTCTTTCTTCAGTCTTAGCAGGACTTTGTTTGGGAGATGGACTACTTTCACTAGACATTGACATATCGCTATCATTCCTCTTCCTGTTTGGTGTCCTTTCAACTGGAATTTCTACAGTTACTGAAGATAGTTTACCAAATTCAGGATTCGGATCAGTTTGAATGACCATTTCAGATAATTGGGGCTTCTTTCTGTCTTTTTCGAGATGTAAAATGATTTTGTCTTCACCGTGGTCAGCATTAACGTCGTACTCTCGGACAATGGTAGTTTTAATATATGTAACTGCTTTCCGTTTAGGAGAGTTAGATTTTGAACGTTTATCTTTCCCCGGAGATTTTTCTGTAACTTCATCAGGTGCCTTTTTCATGACCACGTCTTGAATGCTAGCAAACAAAGAATTGCTTGATATTTTGGTATCAACTTGTTTTCCAACACTTTTTAGAGTGGCTGTTATGTCCTTAAAACGTTCTTTATCAATTTTGCTTTCAGACTGCTTCTTTTCATCATTAAGACTCCTTTTTTCGCGTTTTACAGCGTCAAATACATTTTGTTTGAGAACGTGATCAGACTTTTTAATTTTAAAGTTGATAACAGATTTTAAATCGATTGGCGATTGTGATTTCTTAATTCTTTGAGAAGTTTCCAGTTCTTTGAAAATTATCTCATTTGTATTTACTCCAACGCTGACCATAACGATTTCTTCATATTCTGCTGGAATTTGTGGTTTCTCGTTTGTGATCGGTTTCGGTAAAATTTCAGCAGGAGCCATCCCCACTATTTTCATCATTTCAGCGTCACTTATTAATGGTTGCAGTTCCAAATTCTCGACTTTCGGTATTTTACTCATCACAATATCTTCGTCTCTCTTTCTCATAGCTTCCGCTTTATGTTTTCTTGTGTTCATTAAGATTTTTCTGGAAGCTTCCCGTATCGGATCGAATATTTTCTTTGGAGCCTCGTTGTTAATTTGTTCATTCATATCTATCAGACCATTCGGTGGCGTTTGGCTGGGAGTACTTTTAGACGTCTTATCTATGCCGAATGGATTCTGTATATCAGGAAATATAGCCTCAGGGCTCACCGCAGCCGAACTACTGTTAGAACTAACGCATCGCCTCATTTTGTACTCCTGGAGGTTAAGCTTTTTCTTCTTTTGGGGTTGTTCCTCTTTGTTCGGAAGTTTAGTTGCTATACTAATTTCCTCTTCAAATGATCTTTTTTCTGGTTTCACTTGCAATGTTTGTGGTATCTGGACATCTTGTTTATTACTAAATAAAGCCGTATAAAAGTTTTCCTCTCTTGGACGGGATCCCTCTTTTGCATTTACATTGATACACTTCTCTAGACTACTAACACTGTTAACTTTGTTGCTAACTAATTCTTTTACATATTTAGTATTTTTATTATTTTTGTTATTGTTCTGAGCGTCTACCTTAATAGATTTAGTTTCTTTGTCACTCACACTAGGTTTACCCTTTTCGATAGTTTTATCTTTCTGAGAGTCTTTTTCATCACAGTTAAGAATAACTTCAGATTTGTTTTTAATAGTTAACTTAATGCTACTGTTAGAATTTTGACTAATAGGAGTATCACTCGCTTCACAAGCATCTTCGATAATCACAGAATTGTTACTTTTATCTTTAGAATCGTTAAGAGCACGCACGGGAGAAAGTTTTTTACGCGTCCCTTGCGGTATGAGTTTCACAGTTTGTTTGATACTAGGCTTCTTAATTTTAATGTCATTATCATCACTGCGTGTCCCTGGTTTCTTCAACTTAGCCTTATTCTTATCAGCTTCGTCATCACTACTAAGAGCATAAACTACTTTTTTATTTTTGCATGTTCTATGCCTAGAGTTTAGAATGCGACTGTTGCTAGACAACACTTCAGGTTTCAGGAGACTCTGCCCCCTTTTGATGTTAGGGAGACTGTATCGCTTTTTAGACGAGCAATAATCGTGGTCAGAGTGCACCGGACTGGGCGATCTCCTGACTGCAGCGTTTATAGTCGACGGCATCTGCAAGGATATTTTAAGATACAATACGCTCTTTAAATGGACCTAGGAGAAATTCGTGAAGAAATGTAGATACTTACCAGGATTTGTCGCATTTTAGTTTTGTTCAGTTGAACGCCCGCATCTTGTAACCTCATACCATTAGTTAAACAAGCACTTTTCACTTTTTGTTCTTCTGTCTTTATCACTGGTCGCTTAGACTTAGTATTTAGCTTCTCTGTTGCCTCAAACTGTTCTAATAAAGAGTTTAAGTTGTTCGCCTCTAGTACTGGTATGACAGTATCATTGCAAGATTCAACGTCAACGAAATCGTCCACTTCAATCTTTATATCAATCTTCTCTTTCTTGATGGTTGATTTTTCTATTGCATAATCCAAAACGGATGGTTTTGGGACTAGAGTCGAAGTACGTATTAACGAACGAATCCCCTCCGTTTTTATTGGCCGAACCGTATTGACAATAGATTCAACGGGTCGATCTATCTCCATGTCTTGATGACTGAAATCATCATTCAATGGTTCAACGCTTTTTGGTCGCTCCAAGGGTTCTGGCTTTGTTGTTATTAAGAAGCTATTAACGTCCTCGTCAGTCAGAGTACGCGGAACATCATCACTTTTACCAGACTTGTCTTTGTCATTATCAAAAGTGAGATCTGAGAGATCAAGGTTCAAGTCTTCAAAGCTTAGACAAGTTTTAGAATCATCAATATCAAGGCAAAGATTGTGCATCGGTGACTGCGGCAATGAGCATGATCTTTGTGCGTTCTTGAATTTAGAATATGTCATGTCTTCTAAGAGAAACTTTTTCAAGTCTTCAATGTTGGGCAGGACCTCTAAATCAGACTCGTTTATAGGCACTTCTACTGTGTCCGTTTCGGAAGGTTCCTCAGGAGCTTTAATAGCTTTAGGATCGAAAAACTCTTCAACAGCTGCCGGCTTAACATCAAACTGCGTGTCTTCGGGCGGCTTTTCTTTGATAAAGAAATCGTCCACGTTTATTTCCTTCGGTATCTCTTCCTTAATAAAATATTCGTCGACGTCGTGTACAACCGGCTCATCTTTGATCGCCAGTATATCTTTATCTTCCTTGTTAAAGTATTCATCGACATTTGAAACCACTGGCGTGTCTAGGTTGAAGTTTAGGACGTCTGACGGTAAAGTCGTTTCACAGTTACCTATTTGGTTTGTCAATTTCTCCTGAGATACGACATATTCGGTGTCGTTTTCTGACTTTTTCTCTAATATTGCAAAATCGCCGTGTTCCTCGTCATCTGTAGATACTTCGAAATCTAAATTTGGGTCGACAGCGAAAACCTGTATGACATCATAATCATCTCCTTCCACTAAGATGTTTTCTTCTACTGTATCACTTTCTAACTGGAAAGTCCCAGGTGGTCTGTCTTCAAACGACACCTCTTGAACTTCTATGTTTTCCTCTTCATCGGAACTTGAATCTTGACTTTTCGTCATGTTTATCTGTAAGAAAACATTATTGCTGATGAAGGAGGAATTAAAGGAATTAAAACCAATCCAGCTTGTTTCTATTTGGTGCAGAATAAACTAATTATATGTACATAATAATTATTATTGTTCTAAAAATAATACATCAATCTCCATTGTAAAGAATAAAAGCAGATTGTGCCGGCGTGCGTTTGATACTTGCCCTACATTCCTACCTTCTACTGCACTACAGCGTCGCATCGATAAGTAACTTCTCGATAAGAATTAAGAGCTTAAGAACATTTATAAGCTAGCATGATTTGTAACTGAGTGAGTACAAGTTATTTGAATTAAATAATGCATTTATCTATTGAAGTTCTCGCGACACGGCCAGCATTACATCTGCAACTGTTCTTTAGCGCTAAATACTTGAAGTACTATTTTATTCGGCGTGGTTTTTTAGTCGCCAACAGCAGATAATTTAAATAATATTGCAAACGTAACTACACCGAACATTAGCATCGTATCGTAATGAACCCTAATTTACGAACTAACCAATCAAGTTGAATCGCACCAGGCGTAACGAGGCCAATCTGCAAAATGACAACTTTTCTGGACGGACTTATTCTAGGAAGATAATTAGATTTTTTTTAAACTTATAAAAAGGGTTATAAAAAGGGTTATAAAATTTGTTTCATGTCGTTCGTATTATTTTACAACTTTCCAGTGATAAAAACACTTTTGACGTATGATCACATGTGAGTTTTTGTGACTTTTGTTTTTAAGTGGTATGGACACGACACTTTTAGAGCATCTTTTATGATACTAATTTATAAACTCACATAATATTGTGTGATGTAAAAAATAAAAAAAACTTTTATTTCGAGAATCCCTTTCAAGATAAAAAACACCTTTTTTTCTCAACTTTCGATGTTGAGTTTAGCATCAACAAATAAATTAGAACTTTAAATAATAGTTAAAGTGGCGAATGACGATTGGGGGCTGCGACGAGTCGAGATTATCCCCATTTATCTTGATAATAGAAACTCAATGAGATGGTGATGTTAATACCTTCTTTAAATAAGGATTGGCGACATTTTACTGTACTTAAACATAAAGAAATAGTACATTATGTATGAAGGACGGTAAATAAGAATTTACTAACGAGGTTCTATTAGAAGCTCGAAGCCGAAAACTGAGGGCTTTAATAACTAGAAATTTGCATTTTTTTACCGTCCGTGACACATACGTTTTTCACCGCATTTGCGAAGAAAAAAAATAAATACAATATAAACACGGTTCACAACACAACAATCATGGATCTTGCAAACTCCTTACCGACCATGGCTGTAATGGAAAGAAAAAGGCCCCAGGGTTTTTTTGGGGCATTATAGTCATAACTTGACTATAACGCCCCAAATGCCACCATGCAATCATACTATTTACGTCCAAATGTGATGAAAATATATTAATATAACACTTAAAAGGCAACTGTCGAGACCAATTTAATACCCAAACACTTATAGCTCTACTGCAAGTACTTGAAGACACGGATAGGCTGCAGACTGTTGTGGTTGCAGTATAAGACCAAGGTTACCATATTATTGTCATGCCATCAGATTTCACATAACAAGTAAAAGTAGAATAAATATTAATTTTAACTAACTGAGAACAGATCTGATCATCTTTAAACAGCTGAACAAATGTTCAACAAAAATATCCAAAAACCATCTGGATTAAATAAGATTTCAAATAAAAAAAAACCTCTTTGAGATCACCCGTTTCGGAGCATCCGTTTAGGAGCTACGGCTTACGTAAGTCTTCAAACTTCTAAATCCCCTCTTTTTGCGTCGGATGTTAAATAGAACAGAACTTACAGTCTGATTTCGGCTCCAATCCTGTCTCTTCCATGCATAATCGTTGCCATACTGTTTGCCCGTATTTTGGTACTCAGGACTATTGTGCGTGCAGCTGCTATCTGAGGATATCAATTCGCTGGAACGAAGAAGTTTGTGCCCTATAGACCGGTAACGCGCTTGATGATATGTATTTAGGATGTGAGACTCCATATCTGAAACAAAGAGAATATTTGAACTTGAGGGTGAGTTGAAATTTTAAAAACGCCATCTATTAACGGTGAATCATGTTACACCGAGCCGGGGCCGAGCCGTGCTCCGCTCGTGAGCCGGGGCCGAGCCGTGCTCCGCTCGTGCGCCGGCCGTGTCACGGTCGAATATCTATATAATGCTTTTGTATGAACTTCATTTTAAATCGGGCCGAGTCCGTGTCACGGCCGAGGCACGGTTGGGGCACGGGGTCGAGTACTTTTTCCCTGTTCCAACCCGGCCCGATCGCGACACGTAATATGAATGCATTCGGTGGGCACCCGGAAAGTGGTCAACTATAGTCCAACCACAGTGTAATGGATCAAAATGCTCTCATCATCTATGAAATCTTTGTAGAGCGTCGCAAATTCTCTTTCGGATTCTCGTTTTCTCCAGGCATGTATGTACACACCATATTCTTTGTCTAGTTTCAATTTGTTTCCAATACTTAGTAATCAAGAGCTGCCAACTGAAGTTATGAAAATTGCATAACACAACCTTATCACTAAAGAGAAAAATGGAAAATAACAAAAAACCGGTACGGTGGAAACGATTCGACACGGCAAGGTGACGGCCCGGACCCCGCACGGTGTAACATGAATCAGTGAATAACTGATCCGCCCGGCGCACGGTGGAAACGATACGATACGGCACGGTGGCGGCCCGGACCCCAAACGGTGTAACGTAAATCAGTGAATAACTAACCCGGCCGGCACACGGTGGAAACGATACGACACGGCACGATGACGGCCCGGACCCCAAACGGTGTAACGTGAATCAGTGAATAACTGACCCGGCCGGCGCACGGTGGAAACGACACGGCACGGTGACGGCCCGGACCCGGCACGGTGTAACGTGAATCAGCCTTTACTTGAGAACTCACAACTTTCTACGCCGAATACGCCAGGCTTGGCATTATTTTGTTACAATTAATGTTTTTGACATGACCTCAACTATTTTCGTACGGATATGAGTCTGCTGTTTCCCTTTGGTCATTTATTTATGCAAATTACGCACTAATTTTATTGGTCATTAGCAAAACACGATGAGGAAATTTGCATGTCACAGAAGGTCGAAGTCTTATGTAGTTTTAACAAACATTGGGCCAGCATAGTAAAGATTATTCTAAGTCTTTTAAAGAGAACTCTCCTAGTACTGTAAGCTTGATTCGCACGAACTGTATTGCTTACTTATTTATATTTTTTTTTATAATATCAAATGACGGGAGGAAAATGTAGTGCGCCTGATGGTAAGCTATACGGTAAAAACAGATTACTTAGAAAAAGACAAATTTCTTTTTATGAAGACAAATTTATTAAATCCAACAAAACGGTCCTCTCCCTATAGACGCTAGAGAATAATTACTAGATAATAGTAAAAAAACTTCTCAAACGTGTATTTTAGTTATAAGACAGAAATATTTAATCCAAGAGCAAATTAATTTACTTCAAGCCACAAAGCCACTCTAGGTTTAACAAAATATTTATTAGTTATTAGAAATGTCCGATTTTGACTTGAAAAAAAAAGGAAGAAAAATTGAGAGGTACGTAACTATTTGACTGAACCTTTATGTTTTCTAATATCAAGAAGAGTAAAATTAACAGGGTTATGGACCCAACAGTATGTTTCAATGGCGTGAAAGCACACAGTTCAGTGCCAAAATAGTAGAAATAGGACGGAATCTTCTCAAATACTTGAGTACCATTCAGTGCCATATAAATGCTACAAAGACAGAACGCACTAACAAGGTATTTGAGAAGACTTATACTACTGAAGTTAACAAAACGATAGCGCGTTTCAGAGTACAACTAATGCCATCTAGCAGTGGCGTGATGGAACTAATTGCATGTTAAAGTTGTGCTTGTTACAAGTGTAGTTTGATTTAATGCTGAAACCAAATTTCTTAAATTATGACTACAAATAACACACTAACAAACTAGAGATACTACGTATTGTTTCTTTGGATTAATGACTGTTTATAATTTTTATGATCACAAGCACAAGTAAAAGTAATCGTTACCGCGTGCGCCTTCGGCGACATGTCACGACAACATTGACTATGAAAACGCAACGAAATGTTGGTTTAAAAATATACTCTAGAATATTAATCTGAATAGCAAAGTACTTCTTTTTTTGTTTAAGAATATATTTTCTTAAAATACACCCAAGAAATTTTTAATTTATTTAAGATTATTTAAATGTGATGTAAGAGGTAAAAATTTCTTGATGTAAGTAATGTCCAATTAATTGATTACAAATGAAATAAAACCTTGAAGTGAACGTGTTCGTCTAAAAGTAAGAATAAAGTTAAGAGTAAAATTGTATTAGAAAAAGATAAGCAGTATTTTTGTAATGACAATATTTTATTACTTTTAATAAATATTTTTTCAGAATTAGCAAATATTTTGAGAAATTGCTTGTTCTTATTAATAGAAATCCTTTTCTTCTGTGTACATGCCTGTCCATGACAGTTGCATTGTCACTCAGAGGTTTAAATGGCAAAGATCTGAGGCGCACTGCCACTGCATCGGACACCCTGAGATATTTCAAAACCGAAATGAAGTAATGCACACAACGTTAAAAACAGGTCAAATTACCATTTAAATAACTCTATGTGTAATACGGTTTGTACAAATAATAACTTAACACTTTTATTAGATTTTTTTTTTAAACTGCCCTGATAGTTTCAAAGTGTGGACTCAATGTATCAGCACTCGCCTCACACATACTGTTCACATTTTTAGTATATTTACATCAGACAGTTCTCAGGCTATTCAACAAATCCATTAAAGATTTCTTTGTTATTTATTTGTCACTGGCAGGTTAAATTTTTTTGACAATCAGTTGTGTGACATGTAGTCAGTATGTCAGTTTGTTATACAAACAAACATGTAGGAGCATACAAAAAAAAACCAAAAAAACCAGAAAAACTTACTTCTGTACCTAAACAATAATAAAAGTTTTGTTACTACAATCAAAAAGCTTGTGAAAATACATAAATGGCGGGTAATATGCCTGTTAAGCTTATTTTATAGTGAAAGTTTTGAAATTTGTATGTAGAAATTCTCACCAATTGAATCAAATAATATAATTATGTCTCCAATTTGATCATGAGTCAAAGGAGTGGTTTAGTCAACATAATGCCCATTGGCATTGTCAGAAGGTCTGAACTCTGTCCCTGGTGCCATATATTATGCACAAATATGAAAATTTGGATGTTGCAATCTTTAATGTTACACAAACATATCAAAATTGTTGAACAGATTTGAATGTAAATCAGAGAACAGATTCTTTAGGTCCTAAATTAGGGCACTTTTCATTCTGAATGTGAAGGAAAAGTCACAGGTATAAAGCTACTTAAGTCCAATCAAAGATGTACGAGTGCAAGCTGAATGATGATCTACAGTGTTGTTTTTAAATGGACTACAAATTCATTTGAGAATGAAAGAATGAATGGTCTATGAAAGTCAAAGTGACAAATCATTTATTGTTATTAAAGCTGTATCTGTATGAATTTCATTAAGCATTCTTAATGCAAATAAACTATACAGACTCGAGTTTATTGTACCTTCTTTAAATGTTTGAGGAACTACCACATCTATACACAAAATATGAATATACAAAGGAAAAGAAGTATGTATTATAAGTTTGAAAGAAGTGGAAAGTTGTGTGGGCAAAAACAATACCAAAAGAAAGTTACAATATTACAAGTAAACAAACTGTCATTCAATTTAATAATCCTCTATTTTTTTACTTTAGAAACTATTGTACCATGTACAGCAATATGCGATAAATGTTTCGACATCCCATTTGAAGTTAAAGCCAAAAGGGTAAGACTGGTATCTTTCAAAAAGTTTCAATCCTTCTGTAATATTTAACAAGTCTCAATAAAATAAAATACTTTTGTACTGAGTCAAACTAATACACTGTATATCAAAAAGAGGATGTTGAGAAGTAACTGCATAAAGGATTGTTCTGTTTCTTGTAATTTTTCAGCTAAACAACATAAAAGATACATTTAACTGAATTTGTACATTTAATAATACTTGGTACTTGGTGCAAGGGGCTGGTATCCGCAACTCGACGACAAAGCGCCTATTTTGCGTGTGGTTAAATAATAATAATATTAAGAATTAGTAGCAATTTATAAACGACTTTGCAAAATGAGCTATTTCTATTGAAAAACAAACCAATTTGTTTTGAATTGTTAATAGCCTAGATTTTTATTATGAAATAACAAAATAATATACTGGGAGTTGCAGTGTTTTGGTTTGACTACTTTTAAGTACAGAATATGACAGTTCAGATTGAAATTTGATCTTTAGAATTAAGTAATATACTTGCATGTTGTTTGTTTATACTTTGATTACATTGATAGGAGGGCAAGTTGCCATGTATATGCAGTACATGTAAATGTGCTGAATGTGTCTCCAACACAGATGAAAGGGTAAGAGTTATTTTAAAATGTTTTAAATTCTATTACTTACTATTAATAAGGTGGATTATTTAGGACCTGTGGACTAGCAGTTTGGCCTATTGTAATCAACACCAATTACATCTCCGTAATTTTCTTATAGCACATAGTTTTTACCTAGATATGTCTACCCAAGAGCGAGGCTAACCCTTAGAGGCTAAGACGATGCAATGGTGTGTGTTCCACTTCATGGTAGTGAATTCTAGCACTCTAATCTCAAATTGTAAACAATTTCTGGCTTTTGTTAGAACCCTCTTGGCACTGTAGGTATTAAATAATAAGGGCTTTTGAATGTACTGGCTTTTTGACCAGGTGTCTTCTCGTTGGTCCCTTAAGATGAGCTTAGGTAGACTGTGTGGAATCATAGTGTAGGATTGGGGGATGTTGAAAACTCCTCTAGCTTCAGCTATGCTGCCTCATTACCTTTAATATCACAAGTGTATTTAGTGCAGTTATAAACTTCACCTCAGCCGTCAATGTTTGGGAGACTGCATGGTGGGCTGCTTGGTTATCTAAGTTTATGTAAATGTCCAGTTAACATAATCTTTCATTTAGTTCATTCTGCATAAGCAATTATGAAGTATATCACCCTCTGAAACTTGAATGTATGTGGATCAAATTTTTATAGCTGACTCTGTGTCCAATTACTAACCCATCTGACAACTATCCTTCCAGATGTCTGTTGTCTGTATCCTAATTCCAGAACTATGATTGATAATTCTTAAAATACGTGTTAAAGTGTAGTTTTGAAAGTTTTGTTTGGAAAGCATGACAACGTAGAAGCCACAAACAAATCCCTTTGAAGTGAGATAGTCGCTTATGTTTAAATTGAATTTTCTATCTTTAGACGCAGTTGTAAACTTTTAATGTTTCTATTTTAAAAATGCTTAGGAGGGGGTTTTACCATGCACATGCACTGATTGCGCTTGTGACAAATGCATTAGCATAACTGTGCCTGAGACCCGGAATACACAGGTCAGTTTGTTAGACATCAACTCAATTTGTAGGATTAGTGATTCACAAACAACTTTGCACATTTACATGTCATAAAGAGACACGTTGGCCTCAAATCTGCTAATTTTAAATCATCTCAGTTTGTTGACAGAGTGTCAGTGGCAGGAATTTGAACGTTAAGAGGAGTGGCTAGCTATCGAGCTACTACTCAACTACCATTGCAATTTTTTGGTGTTCTGCTCTTCAAGGGCAAGTCGATGGCATGTTGTCTTAGTGTTAATTAATATTACATATCTTTTATTTGAAGACTAAATTGCTGTTTACACAAGTTAAAAATCAATATATGCATAATAATTTCCATGGTAATTTTAGTAAGGCAACATTGATTGTTACTAATTAAATAAATGAATATGTCATCAGTGCCATTCCACCGAGACTCGACTGACATTGCAACTAGATTTTGACAGACAAATGTTATCATAATTACAATGCAATCTCAAGGGAGTCTCAGTGGAATTACAATGATTAGAGGTTAAAAAAATTAGCAGAATTGGGCCCCTGTAGAAGTAAAAAACATATTGCACCCGTCATGGAAGAAAGGCATAAATGCAGTTACGTTGCCTACAGAAAAATATAATCTACATCCTCCCCATTCCTTGTAACTCTGTCAAACAGTTAAAAGAATTGGAGATGATGTAGGTTATATTTCTCTGTGTCTAACACAGCAATTAACATTTTTTACATAACTTCTCTTATGCCATTCTTCCATGTGGTATATGATATACCACATGGAAGGAAGATATAAGCATTTTAGATGGCATCAAACCTGTAGTGCACATTTCTTAGATTACTACGTATATTTGTTATGAATTAATTTAGTTTCACCCAAATGCACATCTAATCTTGCGCTTGATTCTTGGCCCGCTACCCACAACGCAACCAAGCTTAGATTTCATAAATGTAATAATTAAGATGACAACCATGTGTCTCAAGTGTCTCCCGTACCATAAATAATTCGTATTTTGAAGGAATTGTAAACTCCCAGTTTAGCATGGCAACACTTAGTCTTATCAATATATCATGATATGGTAAGATAAGCGCCAAAATGCGTTCCGCACTGACAATGCGCGAAAATATGGCTAAGGTCGCGTGACCACACGCACTAAATTAACGTGTCTAAATTACGCATATTCAGATTATCGCTAACGTTACACGGTTACATCCGACAGAAAAGTTTAATTTGTCATTTTACATAAAAATTGTTTTGATTACAAATTGAATTGCCTACTTTCACACCTCCACGCGGTCAACCTGATAACGGTTAATTAGCCGAAATATTGAAGTCATATCAAAACACGTCTAGGTTAGGTCAAGCGGCTGAGGTCTCTAAAATTACACTCGGTATTGGAGTATGTGACGTTATGTTAAAAGAAACATTAAAATCAGATTGTCCTGAATATAAATATATCAACTTTTCAAACCAAATACGGGCAAAAACAAACATTATTGTGACAAATAACGCGCGCGCTCCTCTACATAACCTTGATAACGAAAAACGATGATACCATTTTGTAGTTCAAGGTCCCGTGAAAAACTGAAAAGTCACATGAATGTGTTACACAAACAAAACTGAAATATCATTGCGACCCGCACAGAAATCTATTTTAAGACAAACAACAGACGAAAAAAGCACTAACCTTTACAACCTCAGGTGACGGCCTTATCCATGTATTTTTCTATGGACTTTTACACCGTAAAACAATTGCCACTGCACAGAGCACACAAAATTATATTTATTTACACTTTGTAAGAGAAATCATACTCAAGTTACAACGTTTTTCTTACAAAATTAACACTTTTCACAAAACATCACATGTTACGAACTTCATGCACGACAGAATTTTCTTTATAATGTGTTGCCAGCGGAAAAATTTAAACTTATGCTATTACAGGACCTACACAAACTCGTACGTAAAAATATGTTTATTGTTTTCATGGAACACGTGCTTATACAGGACGTTACAGAAAATTCATTAACGAAACAAATTCAATTATTTGAATAAAATGTCTATTCCGAGGCTACTTTAAACTTTATATAATTATTATTACCTACTTTATTACAAATGGCGAAGTTAATTTCGTTCCTGTAAAATACAAAAAATAAATTAAACATATTTAATTTTTTTTTCTTGAACTGGTACTTAAGTAAATATGAACTGTAATCTTTATAAAATGAGGCAAAACTTTTTGTTGAAAAATGTTTCGCGTACATTACATAGTATTCAAGTTAAGCATAGTTAGCAGCAACGAATATTGCCTGAGCGTAGTCAATTTTTTAAAGATAATTCTGATAATTTCACTTTTTAATGATTTTTTTTTTTTACTTCGAAAAACGTTGCCCCGTTTTTTTGTGAACAATGTGAACAACAGTTAAATTAATTAATTTACACTTAAATTAATTCATACGCAATTATGTCATTTGGTTGTGCGTTTTAGTCAGCTTTACGGCAATTATTTGTATTGCAAAAAAAAAATCTGTGAGATATACTGACTATTCGTTACAAGATAAAGATATACTTCTCGCTAGAGTAATAGTGTTCTGTAGTATACATATATACTGGAACCAGTGAAATACTGTAGACAAGATGTATTATTGGTCTCGTCAAAACTTAGTTTAATTTGGCAGTGTTGACACTGTTAATTGTAAACTAGACGAAGCGAAGTTTAAAAAAATCTAATAATAGATGTTTACGAACTTTGCCCAAGATCTATGCATAGTCGACTCTACTCAGGCTATACTGGTTCAAGAAACTTTAAAATAGTAGAACCTTAAGCTGCAACTAACTACGTCAAATAGGCATAACGATCTTAGAAGGCAGCTTTGTAGCATAAGAGCAAGTAGGGCAACTCCGCCTGTTCGGCGGGTAAATGCAGATACTATTACCAACACTATAATTAATTAAAAATCAAGGTGTGCGTCATAATATTGTCGTGCTAGTGCTATATGGAAATAACCTTTGTTAAATGCTGTAAGTACTTACGTATTGATTTTTATATCAGCATCGAGTATGATTATAAAATAGAAATAAAATGCTGAAGAATTTTAGTTATTCATGCTGAAGAATTTTAGTTACTTTTGATCAAACTACCCTAAACACAACAATAAGCACGTCTAGCGACCGGTTCAATTCTATGATTCTTTAATTAATGACGCTTGCGATGACCCGCGATACGCAATGTGAGGTCACCGCGAGACTGTGCAAACGTATGCAGCCGCGTTGCTACATTTGTATGGAGTTATCATTTATTTATGTATTTATTTAAATTCACTAACGCTTAATACATTCGGTTACAACAATATTTTACACACTTTCGACAGGGTGTTACAGTTAAAATGCTTAACCAATTACAGGTGAACATGCCATGATGAGAGTATGAAAGTTAGGACAATTAAATTTATTATTATTATATTATATTACTTAATTAAATCATACTTGTCTTATTATACGATGTTTGTATGCTTACGAGACTTTACGTTCAATAAATATTTTTATTTTGAAACAGCACGCAGTAGACCAACAAATCAACATACCAGTGAATTTTGAAGATAAATTAGAGGTAATTAGAGAAGAACAAAATTCACCATTATCGTCAACTGTGGAAAATGAAGAACAAAAAAAAGAAAACGAACCGAAGCCATTTGTTCCAACAGTGAAATGTGTATGTGCAAACACAAAATTTGACGAAAAAGCTGAAACAGAATTAGATACCGAGAAGCTTCACCATATCTTGAACGAAAAAGAAATGGAGCTTCGGAAGGAATTTCAAAAAAAATTGGAAAAAGAGACTAGTTATTTGAAGGAGAGATTTAATTTTGTATTGCAGTATGTTAACGCAAACTAATGTATTTCAAAATGTTCAAATGTGATTTCGTATTCTAGGTAGCTAAAGTTAAATGTTTTATATATTATAGAAATGAGCAAGCACGATCATCATTGATGCTACGCGAAGCTTATAGAGAGAGGAAAGAAAAAATATCTGTTTTACAAACTCAGCTAGAATGCAAGAATTTAGCTGGACTAATGTACGTCATGTGTGCTGAACGAAGAAAAGGAAAATTGGAGAAGCTACAAATCATAGAAAGTAAGTTTTAAATTTTATAAACGCCCTACATTACTTTCTAAAGTATTGTAAGTACAAAAAAATACGTATACGTTTACGAAAAAATAATCGATACATGGTCTTAGGACAACCAATAATTTTACTAATAGATAACAAACCTTTCTTCGGTATTCCAATTCAATATTTATGCTAGTTGAAACATTTCACAATAAATTGCACTATAAAAATTACAAAAACAAATTTTTATTGGCTTGCACCTCCTTCTAAACCTTCTTTTCAACTGATGACCAAGCAACAGACTTAGAAAATCAAGAATTTAAGTAAACAATCGTGCATTGTCATTCAGGTAATAAAAGCACGGGATTGGTTGTTTCGAAATATTTTTTTTGTATATTAGTTAAAATCACCACGCAATTATTTAACTGTGTTACGTGTTTGTGAATTTTTAATGGGCCTAAATATTAGTATGATGGAAATTCGGTTTATGCAAAATATTTTTCAAATTGTGTGTAATGCTCATATGGAAATAATTTAGGGGTCAGTTAGGGGAGTACTTGTCCCCTATTGTGATTAATCTGTTTTCCACTGGCTCAAGCATATAAATCAATCATTCATTTAAGTCTTCGTTGCTATTTCGAAATAATTTAGAGAAATAACAAGGTTAGTACCACGTGGCCATACAACGAATAGTTTAGGTTTTTAATAGTTGAAAAGCAACAAATATGTTTCTTAAAATATTGTCGTTTCGTATCGTAAATATGTATAATGACGAATATTGTTTGTTAACAAAATATATAACCAGAACTAATCAATTGTTAATTCGAAATAAGCAAAACCATGTATATTTTTGCTTTTGCAACGTGACACCCTTAACTGATTTTTTAAGTTAAGTCCAGATAATATAAATTTTTAAATGTACAGAGGTAAATTTACATCTCTCAACAAATACTTACATGTAACTGTAATTAATTACACGGCACTTCTTCGTTGTTCACTAGTAACATTGAAGCAAAAATATTGCAGGGAAGCACTGCCTAAACATTTATGAAGAACATAGTAAAATTTAAACGAAATAAAGGTAGGCAACCACCGCGCCACTTAGATGCGAGATGATAGATCGCTGCTCAAAATATAAGATGATAATACAAAAATTGACTATACATGTTAACAGACATCCCTATCATAACATTAGAATTTAAAAATGTATGGGGTATATTATTCAGCCATTAAAACTAAATAAATAGCGAAAAAAAATATTGGAAATATGTTTTTAGAGAGCTCGCCACATTTGTCGCGAATAGTTCAATAAAAGTGAGCCAGTTATTCTCCAGTGTGCCAAGGTGCAATATTCATATTATTATTCACTCTCGAATACAACAGCATAAAATATCTCTCGTCACATATCATCCCATTACATGTTCCATTGCTAGTAATATATAGGTCTCTTTAGAAGAGGATGCTACAGTCTGTCATTCGAGCTCAAAGCCACATGGAAACTTTACACGTTTTTCAGGGCTTTCAGCGATGATCCTTCATCGTTAGCGAGAGGTATTGCTACTAAGTATTCATAAATGTACCTACCTAACTTGGATAGTAAAATCTTGGGGAAAAATAGACATCGCGCCACAGGAACTTGAACCGTCAAACTTGCTATTGAGAAGCAACAGCTCTGCCACTGAGCTACCACCGATCTGTTTATTTTCGTTACGGTCTCAGTTATTATTTTACCTATAGTATGTATTATTAAATGGTTGTAAGTGCAAAAGGTTGTTCTGTAAACTTTAACTACGTAGATAGTATATTCATTGACTATAAATATTATATTTTCCGTGAATACATTTTGATACCAATTTTTGTTAGAGTATACGGAATACATTAATAACCTGCATGAAGTGCTCTCCGAGGGACAATCATTGATACTTCATCTTTCAAGAGGATACAAAACTGCAGCTCGAGTTAATTATGAATGGCAAGAGAAAATGAAAAGCATTATAGCTGAGGTAAACAATTTTATTAATTTCTATTTAGGAAATTACCAGAATTAATGTAAAGACTATATATGTATAGTAAAAAATATTTCGGCTGTGACCTGGCAACCGGTGCTATCTCAATTTTGACAACTTTACAGGTGAAGAAAAAGTCATTTGTATAGCATGTGGTTTATTGAATAAAAATACGTAGGGTACATACATACATGTGTAATAAAAATATCTAAAAACTACGTATTTTTATTTAATAAACCAGATGCTATATAATGACGCGAGCAATTATTTTTCTCTCGACACTGTAAGTGTGTGAAAATTTAGATGGTATTGATTCCCAGTTCACAGTCGATATGCTATAAAAATTAAAAATATTATAATAATGAGTATTTTACTTAATGTAAAATTTACAGTTCCAAAACTTCATTTACAATTTCGCGGGTGGATCTCCTGAAACAAATCAATACTTTTTTGATTTGCCGGCATTGTTGCGTTGTGAAGTTCCCATAGAAGATGATCTGCGCGAAGACCCAATAGAAGAGGAAGAAAGTGCAACAATTGAAGAAGGTAAATTAATAACAGCCTGTAAAATGGTTAAATGCTTAAACTAATACGCATGTGTATTGGGCCCTAATCGGCTGGTAACCCTAAAAACTTTATTAAAAAAAATCAAAATATGACATGCAGGATGGAAAAAAAATCAAATAGTTAGAAGCAGGACAAGCGTCGGTATTTTGGATTACAGCAGTTATTAAAAGTATCGGTAGATGGCGCTTTCATTAATTTGCAATATTTATTTGTAGAAATTGAAAGTGAAGAAACTGCATGGTATCAGAAACTGAACAATGATAGTGGCAGTCCTTTCGTGATATTCGGCGACATGGAAACTTTCAAACCGCCGGAGCGGCGCTTGACCTTGCAGCGCGTGAAAGCTGCGAAAACGGCACCGAGGAAATGGAAAGAATACGGTAAAGTTACAAAGTTTATTTAAGTAAGGGTTTGTGTGCATGTGTGGCGTTTGTGCTGAGAGGGCCAAACGATTTAGATAATTTAATATAGTTCATCAAGAGCTTGCTCACGAAGCGTTTACTCTCTCAATATATAGGTATGTATATTATTTACTTATTTCTAATTTTGTCGGTATTTTTGAAGAATCTTATTAATTTAAGGAAATTGAATCTTGCGTTCGCAACGTATATTTAATTCCCTTAGACTCGACTCTACTTAGTTAATAACGATTAATTTTTTCGCAGCGTTCCACGACACGTTCATAAAATCGAACTGTCCGATGGCGGATAAAGTTAAAGACTATTATCTAAAACGGGTAAAAATGCCTGACAATTGGGAATGCCTGGATATCGAAGGGACGGTAAGAATTAGAAGTGTGTTTTTTCACAAGGTCTAAATTTTTTTAATGATACCATGTGACCGGACGAAAAAGTCGCGCACCTGCTGGTAAACGACACGCTATCCATAACAGTGCCGCTCAGAATTTTAAGTCGCAAAGATCTGAGGGGTACTGCCACTGCGCCCATCACACTGAGACATAAGTTGACAAGTCCCACGTGCTTGTAATTTCACTAGCATCCTTTCACAGTAATGCTCACATTACTGCTTGACGGCAGAACTAGATAAGGTGGCAATACTTCCCTAGGTAAACTCTTCCACAAAGAGCTCTATTGCTATTAAAGCTTTACTTTTGAAATTTGGAAATACAATTTTTTTCGGATCTAAAATGGCGTTCGTCTGTTTTTTTTTCAAATAAAACTACCGGGGAAATACTTAAGTCATCAAACAATTGCGTCTAATATTAATGCAAACCCCACCCTGAGTTATAGTTATAGATACAAAAAAAATTAATTTTACCATAATGTTTAATTTACCAAAAAACATATTCCAATTTACGATATATGTATACATACGATTAGCAAAATATTTTAACATACATATTATTAGGCAGTTTTAACTGCCTCTGTGACCGAACGGTTGCCACGCAGAGGGCCCGGGTTTGATTCCCGGGCCGGGAGAAATATTCGTATGGCCTACCTACATTTATTTCTCTCGTGAGGTTGGGTGTGATTTGTGGTTGTCTTTGTTTGTGTCCATGGCACCCGCGATACAGTTTCCCTAGTGCGGGACTGTGAGTATATGCGTTAGTGGTTATTATTCTCGGAATAGTGTCCATAACCTAGTTTAGGTTTAAAGATTTATTTCTCACTAACAATTTTCATTCACTTAACATGAGAAAAAATAACAAAATATGAGTACAGTTGAAATATCGAACGACAAAGATTAAGTATAAAAATTATTCTACATTAACGTGGGTAGTTGCTTAAATATGAGTTAGTTCGTTCAATCGCTAACGTGAATGTTATACAAAATTAACAAAGATACATAGAACGAGAAAAACTAGAAGCGACATTCAAGTAGTTTAATTAGGACGAAACGTTTGGTACTATAAAGTAAGAACTATAATAAAATAATTTTGTTATGTTTATTATGTATAATGACAATATTTCTTTTTTGTTTTGTTCATTATAATAATTTTATTTGATTTTATTTTTTATTATTATATAATTTCCGTGGAAATGTTTATTATTCAAGTATTCGTTTTTCTTATCGTGCAATATTATTTAATATTCAAATATTGTATCGTGAAATATTATTTATTTAATAATTACGCGAATATTTAAATAGTAAAAATTAGGTAGTGAACACTAGTCCGAGAATGACCGACCTATTTTAGACCACTTGGCAACAGCACTCGACTTTGAGAACCCTCATTATGCAATGATTGTGTCAATAACATACTATTATTTCCAATGTAACACTCACGAAAATCTAGGAACGATGCTTATGTATTTGTAAGTGTTAATTGATATGAACTAAAAATAAAATTGTTTATTATATGGTTGTTAAGGTAACAACCTTAGAAGAAAATATATAACAACATATTTTCTTTTTTGCCTGTAGCCCGAAGGGATGGGGCGCCATGTCACTACCACGAGCGTTGACATACGAGGCAATATGGGGTCCATTCTGAAGATCATGTAAGTTACACCTTACGTGTACAGTGTCGTCTGATGTCTGTCCATTTGCTGCATGCATGTGCCCTTTATGGACAGGGTCATAATTTATTAGAGGTACCTACTTACAACAAAGACAAAAATAAATTTATTTCATTATAATTTAAATACATGTAAAACAAACGTAAAGGAAGCTGTGATAATATTCAAATAAACAATAAATATAGGAAATGAAACTATTTTTCCGGATTTAAACCTCCTCCTTTATATATGAAATCGGTTAAAAAAGGAACTTGAATTATTTTACAGTCATCATAAAGCTGTACAATTAAATCTTAGAACTCTAATAGTGTAGTTGCTATGCCTAAATTAAGTAAATGAGTACTTGTATTTGAGGCATCTTGTTAAAAAAATAATAACTTTCTTGCAAAGTACAGAAAAATAGGTACAGAGATGTGCCTAGCTCCCAAAAGCTATGGGTAGCTAGGTCTTACGTCCGTCAAATGTGTTGCCTCAAAATAACAATAACCACCTAAGTATGAATAAGTGCAAATGTATTATAATAAAGTACAAATGTATTATAATAATACATTTGTGCTTAAAACAGGTTAGCTATATTTATTTAACAATAAACCAATTAGTTATTATAATATAATTATGATAATCCATAAAGACAAGCAACGACCACGCGGCACACCAAAAGGTTGCACTGCAACTGCGCTTCTAAATGTTGTATGAAAATTAGTAGTGGCACTACTACCGCTTCTATAAGTGTCTAATTTGAAGACGCTATTAGTGTAAAGGAAAGAATGTACAAGGAAGCAGAAGAATTTATACGACTGCGATGTAGGTGCCCATTTAATTTGAAAACATCTAACGGATAGAACGCGCCTTAAATAATACGGTCATTCTCGGACTAGCGTTCACTACTCGTTCACGTTCGATTTTTTTCGCGCAATATTATTTAATATTCGAGTATTGTATCGTATAATGTTATTTAATAATTACACGATAATATACTTGAATGTTTAAACAATAAAAAATGCCACGGTAATTAGGTAGTAAACACTAGTCCGAGAATGACCGACACATGCCTTAATATTACGCGCTTAAAACGTTGTTTATTTTCTTATGAACCCAACAAGGTATAAATTACGCGTAGATACATTGTGAGAGCGTTTTCCGCCAAATTCCTCATTACAAAAATTACACGTTGGTATCTTCTTTACATAGGGCGCACTATAAGTTTCCGGAACTGGCCACTTACATAAACAATATTTAAAAAGTAATACAACCTTTGAAAATGGAACTCTTTGGCTGTAGAATACAGTTTGTTTCATCTGACTGTCACTTGTTTTTACATTGTGGCGTCGTTTTAGTAATTGGTTGTCTACATCACCTTGGATTTAACTCGTGAAAATTTTCGTAATACGATTTTCTACGACTTTAAGCGTAATTTAACAGCTCAGCAGAGCTTCGCTCGGTATCAAATTGCTTTTGGCGATGAAGCACCATGCAAGACGACTATTTATAGCTAGTTTGCAGAATTCAAACGCGGTTGTGTGAATCTTAGTGACGAATTTCATGATGATCGCCCGTCCACTGCTGTGAACAACAAAAACATCGATGCTGTGCGCCGTATGATCAAAACAGACAGGCATGTGACATACCATGAGTTTCAGGCATCTTTAGGCATTGGCATGAGTCAAATACAATCAATACTACACAAACATTTGGGTGTGAAAAAGCTGTGCTCTCGGTGGACCCCACACAATTTGACTGAGGCTCAAAAAACGGATCGCATCACTTGGTGCAATGCCATGCTTAGGAGATTCAACGAAGGGGCCTCAAATTTGGTGTGGAACATAGTAACAGGTGGCGAAACATGGATTTATAGTTACGATCCCAAAACAAGACAGCAATCGAGCGTATGGGTCTTTCGAGATGAGCCGAAACTAACCAAAGTGGCGCGCGTGCAAAGTGCCTTTAAGCGGATGATCGCTAGCACGTGGCTACTGTTGCTTTGTGGAATTATTGTACCGTGAATAGTGTGGTGGGATGTAAGGGGGCACACACCATCACAGCTCTTATTGTCAACCTCACCTGCACGCGGTACATCCTGCAGTAACCGACGAGGCTCTGGCGACCGGTAGTAGGCGGTATAGCCCTTCCCCACATTGGCGCTGTCAAATCTGCTGGCTACCGACGGGCAGCAGCGTCGGTAGTACAAAGGCAGCGCCCTGCGATCTCCAACCCGCATGCCCAGCGTGGAGATTATGGGCAATAACCCCCTTCATGGACGGCACAACCAATCGAAGGCCCCCAGTTCCCGGTCGCCCCGCTATTCCTGGTCACGGTAGCGGCCATGGTACCGGCGGGGTAGGGGGTGCTAAGAATCCCCGGGCTACCGCAGGCTACCAAAAACAACTGACCCTGGCTACGTTTAACGGACGAACTCTTAGGCTTGACGAACACCTTGCACAGTTGGAAGTGGAACTGGAGAACATTAGATGGCATGTTCTGGGGCTGTGTGAAGTCCGAAGAGAGGGAGAGGACACCATAACCCTAGACTCGGGCCATCTACTGTACTTCCGCGAGGGTGATCAAACATCCCAAGGTGGTATAGGATTCCTCGTCAACAGAGTCCTCTCTAACAACGTTGAAGAGATCTCCAGTGTGTCGAACAGGGTAGCGTACCTGATCCTTCGGCTATCATAAAGGTATAGCCTGAAGATCATTCAGGCCTACGCACCGACCTCGACACATTCGGATGACGATGTAGAAGATATGTACGAGGACATATCGAAAGCCTTACACAACACCACCAAGGCTCACTTCAACGTTGTTATGGGGGACTTTAACGCTAAAGTGGGATTCCCAAATCTTGACGAGTCTCGAGTCGGCCCGCATGGTTATGGAGTAAGGAATCACAGGGGGCAAACGCTAGTCAACTTCCTCGAGCACGAGGGGCTCTTCTTGATGAATTCGTTCTTCAAGAAGAAGCCTCAAAGGAAGTGGACTTGGCGAAGCCCCGACGCTGTGACTAAAAATGAGATCGATTTCATCCTGACGGACAGACACATATTCAGAGATGTCTCAGTGATCAACAGGTTTAGCACCGGATCTGATCACCGACTTGTACGAGGCTCTCTGAATATCGATGTCAAACTTGAAAGAAGCCGCTTGATGAAGTCCACGCTCCGTCCTAATCCACTCCAGATCATGGCGGGCTCCGAGAAGTTCCATGAACTTCTCGAAGCGAGATTCGTCGAGCTGGAACCCACCGAGGACGTTGACGAGGCCCTACAAGGCGTGGTTGGGACGCTGAGAAGCGAGGGCATCAAATTCTGTCAATTGCAGCGTACGGGAAAGAAGTCTAAACTCTCGGATGAGACTCTGCGACTTATGACGAAAAGACGCGATGACATCCAGGCCACTTCGTCAGAGAGGTCATACCTAAACAAGCAGATTTCGAAGATGGTACGGCGTGACCTTCGGAGCTCCAATACACGCCTCATTGAGGAGGCGATAGAGCGAAACCGAGGGTCCAAAGTATCCACTCAGCAGCTTGGAAGGAGCCACCTGACGAAGCTTACAACGCACGATGGCCTAACCGTTACGTCAAGGCAGCAGATACTCGCCGAGATAGAGGACTTCTATGGCCGTTTGTACGCTGTAAATGCTCCTCGGGTCCAGCGTGACAATCACGATTTGAGAGCCACCTTGACGCGCCACTATACCGACGACCTGCCAGAAATCAGTCAAGACGAGATCGTGTTGGCTCTAAAACAGCTTAAAAATGGAAAAGCCCCCGGTGAAGACGGAGTTACTTCGGAGCTTTTGAAGTCTGGAGGAGTTCCTATTATCCAGGAACTTCAGAAGCTCTTTAACTTGGTCATTCACTGCGGGAGAACTCCACGGGCGTGGAACAGGAGTATTGTAGTTCTCTTCTTTAAAAAGGGAGATAAAACTCTACTGAAAAACTACCGACCCATCTCACTCCTGAGTCACGTCTACAAGCTGTTTTCTAGAGTCATCACGAATCGCCTCGCAAGAAGACTCGATGAGTTTCAGCCACCGGAACAGGCCGGGTTTCGGGGAGGATATGGCACCATAGACCACATACACACAGTGAGGCAGATTATACAGAAGTCCGAAGAGTATAATCGGCCCCTGTGTTTAGCTTTCGTGGACTATGAGAAGGCCTTTGACTCTGTCGAAACCTGGGCTGTCCTGGAATCCTTACAGCGGTGCCAAGTGGACTATCGTTACATACAAGTGTTGAGATGTCTTTACGATGCTGCTACCATGAGTGTCCAAGTACAGGACCAGCAGTCTGAACCTATCCAATTACGCAGAGGGGTGAGACAGGGGGATGTCATATCCCCGAAACTGTTCACCGCTGCATTGGAGGATATGTTTAAGACGCTGGACTGGAAAAGGATGGGCATTAACATAAACGGCGAGTACATCTCACACTTGCGATTTGCAGATGACATAGTCCTAATGGCAGAATCGCTGGAGGAACTGGATCATGCTGAACAGCCTAGCATCCGCCTCGCGGCGGATTGGTCTTGGCATGAACTTTGATAAAACCAAAGTCATGATCAATGACCACATTGATCCGAGACCCATCTGCGTCAATGGCCACCTTCTTGAAGTTGTTTCCGAATACACTTACCTCGGGCAGATTCTGCAGTTAGGTAGAAATAACTTCGAGAAGGAGGCCAGGAGGAGGATTCAGCTTGGCTGGGCAGCGTTTGGGAAGCTCCGTCGAGTCTTTTCGTCACCCATCCCGCAGAGCTTAAAAACAAAGGTTTTCAACCAGTGCGTCCTACCAGTTCTAACGTACGGAGCTGAGTCGTGGACACTCACGATACGGCTAGTCCACCAGTTTAAAGTCGCTCAGCGAGCTATGGAACGAGCTATGCTCGGAGTTTCTCTGAAAGATAAACTCCGTAATGAGGTTATCAGACAGAGAACCAAAGTGATCGACATAGCTCTTCGGATAAGCAAGCTGAAGTGGCAGTGGGCTGGACATATCTGCCGAAGAACCGACAACCGCTGGGGTAAACGAGTTCTTGAGTGGAGACCACGACTTGGCAAACGTAGTGTGGGACGCCCTCCAGCCAGATGGAGTGACGATCTGCGGAAGATTGCTGGCAGGAAATGGATGCGTCAAGCCGAGAACAGGGCGAAATGGCGTGCATTAGGGGAGGCCTATGTCCAGCAGTGGACTGCAATAGGCTGATGATGATGATGATGATGAATAGTGTATTGATACACGACCATTTGTTTGTCGGAAGTTATTGACAAACTCGATAAAAATGACCGTAAACGCCGTATTATCTTACACCACGATAATGCCAGTTCTCACACGGCCAGACAGACAAATGAATGTTTCAGGTGAACGTTGTTCACCTTCAGGTGAACAACGTTGACCTTATGAGCCATCCTACGTACAGCCCCGACCTGACACGTTGTGACTTTTACTTATGTCCAAAAATTAAGGACCAGTTACGCGGTCAACGATTTTCATCACCTGAAGAGGCTGTCGAAGAGTACGAAAAATATGTTTCAGAGATTGTCACGGAGGAGTGACATTAACGCTAACGGAGAATATTTTGAAAAACAATAAATTCATTTCTGACCATTTATAGTATTTTTTTCTTATTCATTCCGGAAACTTATAGTGCGCCACTCGTATATATACTATACTATATACTCGTATATATGTTATAGCTCCATCGATACCTTCGCTGATTCCGCCAATGTCGAGTTAAAAGCGACAATCTGTTGGACGAATTTTTTTAAATTTAGTTTGGTATAAACTGTAATTACAATATTAATGAATACCTACAGAAAAAAATTTAACCATACATAACGAGTACCGAATATTACACTTAAATAGTAATAAGTTTAAAGAGCTTAAATTACTAAAATAAAATAGGAACACATTTTTAAACCAAAAACTAATAGTTAAACCATAGGTAGGTACTTAAACAAACTTGTACATAAAACTAATGAAAAAAAACCGAAATGTGAACTCGCGACACGTGGCTTCATAGGCAGACTCTGCCCACTAGGCCACTAATCCGCATCATTGCTACTATAGAAATGGTTTGTTGTGGACGTTTACCTTAATTATTTGTCATCTGCGGATCTATTTTTCATTTTGTAGGACAGCATCAGGACTCAGCCAGTGCTACGGTGGCAACCGTGCCGCATTGCTTGGAGCCCGAGATTCCCTAGAGATCGCTTCGACAACCAAACTAGTAAGTGTTCTAATTATTTAATACAACAAAATATTATTTATTGCACACCATTGGTATATGGTGCATATTTGAAACAGGTGGGTAATTTTCAGGCTAGTTTTCTCTATCTAATTTCCGAGGCAATATTTGTTATTTAACAGTCGATACTACCTCAGCTCGAATTCGACTTTTTGCCGTACTAATTACAGACTGTACAGTACAGACTTTAATTTTTTGTACAACAGCGTGCAATCGAAAAGTGTCGGCAGTCGGCACGCGCAAGCGCAAGCAGTGCAAAGGCGCCAGATACTTACACCGTCGGCAGTAGAAAGGTACAATTAGTTCAACAGAATAATAGATCAATTTCATTTAATTAAACTAGACTTGATTACGAAATTTATTCCATGAGGAAATAAAAATGTATAGAAATCTGCTTTGTAACGTACAAAAATATATAAGTATAAATATAAAATCGGATAATAAAATCGGACAAAACAGCTCACCTCAGAGAATGAATTCAAAATCACTAGAGTCGAAACTGTGTAGAATTTTTAGTAAATTTAATGTAACAAATATTAAATTTAACAAATATTTTTTTTCGCAATTTGGAATTTTCAGTGTTCTAAACAATACAGTTACATGTTTGACAAAGGCTAATTGAGATTATCAAGAAATACAAATAAAAGTATAGGTCGTTGCCCATATTTTATCGCCTATTACCTAATACCTTACCTATACCTATTGCACCTTTCGACAGACCTCCTTCTTCGAAGAGGCAAGATATATTTTTGAAGATAACGTTTCAAGACATGAAAAACTTGTTGACGGTAGCTCGAAGTGAGTCCCCTATAGACAAAATATATACAGAGCAAATAAACGGGACCACAGATTTTTTGACAATCGACACTTGTCGGTCTGCAAAAAATACGATATCGATGGTCTGCTTCTTACTCATTTACTCGATTTTGACCGATCACTTATGTTGATCGACAAAAACTACAATGCCGATCGTCTGCTTCGCACGTACATATTTAAGCGCAGACCACGCCGAAGCTAAGCTAACTTAGCGTAGCTTCGTTCGCCAGTAAGTTTGGAAGAAGACCGGGCGGTATGATCCGCTTCGTTGTAAGGAAGGGGAGGGGGAGGATGTAGCTCCTCCCAGATGCTGGGGGGTTCTGGTGCGCAAAGTCGATCCCGGATCCCTCCCACTAGAGCACCCGAGAAGGCCACCGTGGGGTTTTAGCCAGTAGTAAGTAAGCCATAACCTTTCCGCTGCCCCCCCGGCGGAGAAGTATCCTAGGAGGATTTACCCATGACAAAAAAGCTCACGTAGTCGCATGCAACCAACTATGCCAGCTAAGCTATCTTGACTTAACTTAGCTCACGTAATTGCATGCAAAGCTACACTAAGAAAATACGTAGTAAGTAGTGACATGCTACACTACGGATACGTGCGGGGGTGAAGGGGGGCAGAAGGGCGACATAATACATAGTTCGCTAAACTATCGTTGGGTTAGTTAGTTAGCTCGGTGTGAACCAAAGTGTGAATAGGTGCCCCGGCTACGTGAGCTAGGCAAAGTTGGCTTAGCTTCGTTCGCGGTGTGGCCTGCGCTTTACTCGATTTTGTCTGATCACACAATGTTGATCGACAAAATACGATGTCGATCGTCTGTTGCTTACAAATTTACTCGTTTACTTTGATTACACGTGTCGATACTCAAAATGTCGAGCAATTCTGCAGATTACTTTTGTTACCCTGTGTATTCCGAGAAACTAAAACCAGAAATAGTCATCATAAATTGTAAGTCAATGTCATCAAATATAAAAAAGCTGTAGTTCGGTCTAGTGTAATGTGTAGTGAAGCTTTTCCCGATTATTAAATAATAAGTATTAACAAAATTAGCTGTCCTTTAAGTTTATAGGGATATAATATTATTTGTCTTTACGGTACAACAAAACCACAGCGCTTGCTATTCTAAACTACTAAGAAATATCAAACAAAAGCCATCAATGGCGTTTGACGAAACCCTGTATGAACGTTTTGAGTTTTAAAATTTGATGGCCAAGTAGGGTGTCCCACGACTATGCGACAGGTTAAGTAAAATGTAATTATGTTACTTAAAAGGAATTAATCCTTATGGCCGGCCGCATACAGTCGGAATTCCGTTTCGGAATATCGATTCGAGATTCCGCAGCGAAAATACGAACGGAATTTACGACTGTGTGTTATACCCCCACAAAATATATGGAATACTTGCATTCGAAACGGCTTTCTCTGTTCGGATTTCCAAATGCACAAGCCACCATATGGAATTTTTAATCGGAAAAAATTTCGAACGGAATAGTGCTGTATGTATGTGATAAGTCCGTGATTTGTAAACGGAATTTCGAAACGGTATTTCGATGTATGTGGCCGGCCATAACTGACCGTTTCGATCGGCATCATAAAAATACAGATAGAACAATACTAAAAAAAATTTTAAAACTATAACCAACTTTAAAAAATAATATTTAATATATCGACTGTGAACTGGCAACCGGTACTATCCCAATTTTGACAACTTTACAGGGTGAAGATAAAATCGTTTATATAGCATATGATTTATTAAATATAAATACGTAGTGTACATACAAACATGTGTAATAAAAGTATTTAAAACTACATATTTTTATTTTACTATATCAGATGCTGTATAATGACGCAAACGAGTTTTTTCTTCACCTGTAAAGTTGTCAAAATTGAGATAGTACTGCTAGCCAGTTCACAGGCGATATAATATTATTTAATGTGCTTCGGAACGTCCTGTATGTATAGTTTCATTTAAAACCCTTTTCGCGTTCTGGAATTTAATAGAAGATTAAATATGATCTGAAAAGTTAATTCTTGCGGAGCTATATCAGAGTAAAAGATTTACTTGTCATTTTACGTTTTAAGCTAGGTACGTGTATTAATGCTGTTGTATCGTAGTAAAAGAAATATGTATCAAGTTCTTAAGGTTGCTACAAGTTGAATATTAACTATGTTTTTCCTTTATTTGTTTTTATTTTCAAAGATACCAACGTTTCGGGTTTTTTATAAGTCCGATGATATGCTGACTCGTTTCCAATAAATATTTAAATAATTTTAAAACTTTTATTTCAGAATTTTGAAAAAGAGCGAAATAGACGTTTGCTTGAGTAACGTTTCTAGTATACCGTATGTATATTTTAATTTTAGTATGTATATACACTATATTATTGTAATATTGCAACTACTGCACTATATACACTATTGTAAAGGAGAAAAAAAACAAAAAAATATAAAAGAAATATTGAATTTTTTTCTAAAAATAATTATTTTTATGTGATTATTTGAAATGAAATAATTATTTTTAATTTCTATGTGAACATTTTTTCATGATCCCGACTACCCCAACACTGTTTGCATTTATATAAATTTGACATAGAACAGTCCATAGTGTAGAGGCGAGCGTGCTGTTGTTTGTGCCTGCATACGTTTGGCACAAACTTACGTCATTACTTAGACTATTGGACCAATAATTGAAGAGGACTGCTAATCTCCATACTACAGATCGTAACCCTCAATAATATCAGTACAGAGTACTAAAAAAACCGACCTCAAAAGTACGTGGAATTACGTCTATTTGCTAAGTTTTATTGAAATTACCCCTAGTTCTCCACTATATAGGACTTGACACTGGAGATAATAAAAATAGGATCTCACTACGACACTACTCAAAGTATATCGAGAGAAAAACTTTCTGAAAAATTTTCTTAAAAAAAGGTTCTGGTGAAACTGGTAGCGGTTCTTTTTTGTGCTACTAACTCTTGTTTATACACCACGTAAACAAGAGTTAGTAGTTTACAAACCACGTGGCACATCGTGACAGACTAGAAAAGAATGTATGACATCTCGTCAGCGTGACGAACACACAGTGCGGGAAGCAAGGTCGACGGATCTATCAATCGCGCGCACGTAAGACACTCTCCCGCCGTCGCTACCCGCACCCCACCACCAAATAGATCTAAAATGCGTTTCTTTCTGCGCATTTAAGGTCATTGTTCAAAATGTTTGCAAGTGCCGTTCAACAAATGTCGCCGGTAAACAAATTTGATCCAAGAGACATCTTTTGGATCAATTTTGTTTACCGCAATTAAATAAAAAACGAAATTTTTTTTACTTATTTTTTTAGTGATTTGGGTTCAGTTTCGGATATAGAATGACCTCTGTAAATATGGCGAGAATGCAAATCAACATATTGTAAATGAATAGCCGGCAGGATCCATAAAAATGTGTGAAATAAGCACCATCTAGTTGATTTGTTTGTTATCATTAGAAATTAGAATAGCTTTGGTAAATTGTAGTTCGTCAATATAAAACAAATTAAAATAGCTATTTGGTACACCATATGTGGTGTACCAATAAGTACTAAATACCCGTCTACGTTGTCTTTTAACGCGATTAGCAGTCCTCAAGAGTTATTGGGCCATGATTAAACTAAGGTCGCCTTCAAATTAAACTCTTAGAAGCACTGCAGTGGCGCCACTGTAGTGCTGTCGCCGCGCCATTACTAATTTTCATACAATATTTAGAAGCTCGGTTGCAGCGCCACTATCGAGACACGCACGCGCCACTTTTGCGCTCACATTACAACAACTGAACTAAAAATTACCGAAACGCTACAACAGACACACAACTGTCACGCCATTCTACAAGCGTCTAATTTGAAGGCATAAGTTTTAATGACAATAAGTTTGGGCATCTATCAAAACTGAAAAACGTGTTTGCTTTATATCTTCTTTTTTAGCGCCATTATGACTTTCACAAATTATTTACACATTTTTTGCAGGCATACCGATAGCTTGGAAGTTGTACCTCCACGCAATGTGAATAAAGACAAGATTAGCTATGAAAAGGTAACTTTTACCTACTTATTCGGCATAGTATAACTATAAGAACCGAGTTAAAGGAGGAGATTCTCTTCGGAGAGAAATTCGATTGTATTTTTTTTTGTGTATGTAACGCGATTACTCCAACATTTGCGAACATATTGCGATGAGTTTTTTTTTGTTTGAGAGGGAGTACCTCAGTATCGGTCCCATTCAAAATTTAAGATAATAATTGAAAATATTGTACCTCTAAGGCCGCAAATTCGAATCGGTGATGGTGCATTCGGCAGGATGTTCAAGGTTAACGCGCAAACGTGTGTTGGACGCATCCAATACAAGATACTAAATGACGGGACGAACAAATCGTGCGCGCTGTATTAAGCTCACGCCTGTCCATGCCAATTGCAGTGCCACTCAGAGCTTTAAATCGCAAAGATCTGAGTGGCACGGCCACTGCGCCTGTCACCCTGAGACATAAATTAAAAAGTCCCACGTGTCTGTAATTTCACCAGCACCCTTCAAAACCAGAACGCAATAATGCTCACATTACTGCTTGGCGGCAGAAATAGGTAAGGCAGTATTTCCCTGGATGAACTCTTTCATAAGTAGCTCTACCAATACTTTGTACCCATATACGCACCACCGTTGCGAATTTGTGGCATAAGGGCATTGACTTACAAATAAATGGACGACGGGTCTAATACAAAAACCACGAAAAAAATGTCCCAAGTCAACCTATTCGAAATTTAAATTGTAATATCATCGCAGTATCGCGCTGTCAGTCGAACAAATGAAGACTAAAGCGGAGTTTGGCGCTCTGTATAGGATTTAGCGCCTTACAAGTGCGGACACTTTTTAGCGCGGACCCGACGTCCATATAATTGTAAGTCAATGCATAAGGGTCACAAATTACGGAATAAACCAGTTCATTGGAATGCACCCACTGTACGTTAGCTGATAAAGAAGGATGGCGAAAGTTGACCCAAAATCAATGAAGTGCCTTGAAGTTCATGGTTTTTGCTAGTATAATTTAACGTTTTAATTTATGCCTAGTTGTTAATATATTTTTGTATATTTTTAGAAGTCGGGAATAAAGAAATTGCAAAACAATGTCGCAATTAATTCAGTTCGACCATAGATTAGGTAACGTTCTTGTACGTACGTTTCATTTTAAGCATGATTGAATATTTAACTACCCAAAGTATTTATTATTTTATAGTTCACACATAAAACATTAAAGCTATAAAATACCTAATCAATTAAACAATAATGATATAGAGTAAAAAATAAAACACAATGTGACAAAAATGTTTAGAAAATATTTGAATGAGAAATACGAGAGTTAGCAAAATAACGTTTTGACAAGAGGCCTCTTGCCAATATTAATGTCACTTAGGGTCGTATTCTAGAACTCTACTCAATGCTCAAGTAAGGATTTGAGTATGGTTGAAAGCACTCGAAATCATACTCAAGTCCCTGCCATTATGGTCGTATTTCCAGTGCTTGTGTTTCCAGTGCAATCCTGACTTGAGCATTGAGTATTGTTCTAGAATACGACCCTTAGAGAATGAGAACAGTGTGACCATTTGTGGCAGATTTCTGCCATTTGGGCAGATTTAATTTTTATTCATTCTCATTGCGACAGAACATGTTAACGTATTAGTATTAAATGTGGCAGAGTTTGGCAGATTTAGGGATATGCAGCAAGTTTTTATTATTTTTAGGAACAAACTGGAAACTTGTTGTTTTCTGCTACTACGACAAACATCTGAAGCGAAAAACAGAACAATGTTGTAAATATAACCTATATCAACTTTATAACCCCAGCTTCTACAGGCTGTACTCAATTAGCTTTGTTCATGCTTTGATAATTAATCACAAGTATTGATAGGTATCTTTAATGCACGTCGTCAAAAACACTGGGTCAGAAAATACACGGGATGTCGCCATCCTTCTTTGGCAAATACGTCTTTGAGGTTAATTTTTTTTAATAAAAAACTTATAATTATAATATTTTTAGCCGCAAATGTTATGTTTAAGTTACTGAATTGAGTCATATCGAACATGGTCTAGGTGTGTCCAATGGAAAAATGCAAGCGCATGCGCGTGGATTCGTTTATGAACAACCTGCCGCCGTACATGAATGCCAATCCGTTTACGGTGTACGAGGAGACCTTTGAAAATTATCAGGCTTGCAGTCCTGGTAAGCAATTCGCCCTCTTATACGTAGCGGAGTCGCAAGTGGATTAGTTATTTCTTATCGATGAGTCCTCATATGCTATTACTCTTTTACGTCCGATGCAAGAAGAGCTTTAAAGCCTTTGTCTGTTTGTAGCATCATGGCTCCCAAAGAGATGGATTTTTACTAACCGACTTCAAAAAAGGAAGGGGTTCTCAATTCGATTGTATGTTTTCACACATCGATTGTGAACCAATTTTGATGATTCTTTTTTGTTGGAAAGAGGGTACCTCATTTGAGAGCTTATTTGATCGGGATGGTTCTTTGCTATGTTTGATAAACGTATGTCCAGCTGTTTAAAGATTATCCGCATTTTTTAACTGGTACCTCAATATTGGTCCCATTTAAATTTGAATGACTTTTGAGGTCGTTTTTTTTAGTACTCTGTACTGTTTTTAACTTAAAAATATCCTTTTTTGATGTATGTATACTTACTGCTATGTTTATTTCCAAACATGGAACTTGTAATTGTATGTAAAATAGGATATGCTTAAGTTAAAAAGCAAAAATGGCAGGTATTTTCACTTACAACTTACTTTGGAGGTATCGGTATCATTTGTTTATTATTTTTTTTAGTTGAAAGTTTTTGGAACCGTTTAAAACCTGCTCTAAACTAAAACTTCTTGCAGAACAATTGGAAATTCTGAAAGAACGGCTAAACGAGAAGAAAAGACGTGAAAAAAGCGACGAACGAGAGCTGGAGAACCCATTGGATGAATGGATGCCTACACCCATTGATGGCATTGGTGTACAGACTTCTATCCAATCGATATCGCTCAGTCAAGAAATGCCTCCATGCAATTGCTACGACCCTGCTCCCTCGCCTACCCCTTCTTCGAGTGTCGGCAGGATGTTTGACTGTAAGAATGGAAACACTGCGACTTTTAGCAGCGATGTAAACGTGCGTTCGTGAAACTTGTAATTGCATCGCTACACTTGCGATCTATAAGCGATTACAGCGATGCAATCGTTTATGTTGAATAATAATGTACGAAAAATCTGTATAGGTTTATGCTATCGAGTATATAGCCAGAAATAGAAACGAAATGTTGTCTAATTTGTTTCAAAACTATTCAGCCATATCATTTAATCGACGGGTGTCGTCAATGGGTGTCGTCAACTGTTTAACTTCAAATCGATCAGTTAACTTGATCTTTGCTATAATGGACGAAAATTACAAAATTACATATTTCATATTTAATTACCGATGATATTTGATTCCGTTTGTTTTGTAATTAGATGTTTTGCTGTTTTTCCCCACAACACCGAATTGAACAGCACGCCATTGTTAGAGATATTTATTATCTTTATTGCAATAAATACAGAATATTTTTGGAATATACGGAGACGTTCACACAGGTCAGTTGGAGGACAGGAGTTGTTGGCGATGTACTATTTCAGCTTTCTAATTTGTGATTTCAGTGCAAACGAGAGTTTATATTTATAAGGGATGTATCATTGATGAGTTACCAGGAATGTGTGACCCTTATTTCGTCTCTGTTTCTGGTTATATACTCGATGGCTTATGCACATTATTTTGTTTTGTTGTAAATGTTGAAAGTGGAATTAATAAATACATGAAATACTGACAATGCGTAACCATAGATGTAGGTAACTTCTAGGATCTGAACAATAATGTACATATTTTTATGAAGGACAGGCAGTTATTAAACTGTTGTATTGTTATTTTGTATTCAAAGAACTAACTATAACACTCTATTCAGTAGAAACGAAGATCTACATTACATTGTGCGAACTTAGACATAGCAACGCAATAAAGAAATTTGTTTTAATAACTTAGATAACAAAAGAGTAAATCTGTTGAAGATAAGGGGCACCGGGTTGCTCTTTTGTTTTCTTCCGTTCAAATAAAAAATCCTTAATAACTACGTGAACTTTAGAAATAGCGATGCAATATAGAACTTCGTATCTACTATAAAAATACTTACCATATGTTGTAAATAGCGATACTTTGACTACTTTACCTCTTGACCGTAGGGTCTAGAAATGGTACTGAATGTCAACGAACTGATTTTCTTGCAGTGGCAAACCTGTACTCCGAAAAGTTGATAATCGATCAAATAAAAGAGGATTGTTTGCATGACGATTTAATACAATTTAACCGGTTCAAGGTGGTTGGACAAGATAGCAGTGATAACGTGTAAGTTTTTTTGTAGGTATGTCTTACTATAAATACGTAAACAGGGTTGATTTGATCGATCGGGAAGAATGATTATGAAGCCCTTTGTATCATGAGTACCATTGATAATCAAACCAAATCATTGTTTCATCAGACATCATTGAGTCATCAGACGTGCCATCGTCTTTCAAACAAATCCTGCTCCCATTCACCGCCGGTGTGCAGGTTTTGAGAATGGCCCCCCATTCAAAATAGATTTATACACAAAAAGGGTCTTCCTTAGTTCTATTTACAGTTCCTCACAATACTTCATTTCATGAACTAGGAGGTCTACCACGATCATCGTTTTTGCGCGTACGAAGATCGTGATTTGACATAAGTCCTTACTACGAAACGTTATAGCTTCATCGATACAATCGATGATTCCGCCAAAGTCAAGTTAAGGAAGACACGCGTTTTTTACTCAGAATTTGACCGGTGAATTTCGATAGAATTCGCTGAGAGGAGAATCTACGACAACAGACAACATATACTATACTATACTAATATATACATATGTAATAGTCTTATTACAGAAACAAATTGTTACTTTTAATAAATTTACACAGGACATACTAACGTTAGGAGGAAGTTGATATTAACAGAACAGTAGGTTTTAGGGGGGAGGATATTATGCAGAGGAGTGACGATACCGTTGCAGTCAAAAACAGGTGCTTGAGGGTACCTTCTGCCAGACCACACGCGCACAGAGAGTGGTCTCGAACACGAATCTCGTATCGAATTTTAACATTCTATTCATCGTAAAACTGACATAATATGTAGTACGTTAGAGCTTCGTTTTAAACGCAGTAACGTAGTATCGTATTTCGTCGTAGACTTCCAAGCATGGAGAACTCTATTCTTCACGAAGTCTGTGGTACTTGCCAATTACGTCCTCCTCAGGGACCGTCCATATGCACTGGTTGCAACTGTCGAGCCAGCGAATTTCTCAACAACACTGACAATCCCATCACTCTCGCCGCGTTACAAGCCAACCAAACCATCCTCGGCGGCAAAGACGAACAGCCTCCCAGATCAGAGCGTTAAAAACCTTCAACTCGCCCTTTTCCCGGAGCAGTAAAACACATCAGCAGCCAATTGCTACATATTTCTTAGAAAAATAAATAGCTATGTGGCTGCTTTTCGAGAATAATGATCCAAATCAAAATAGTATATTTTTTGTCGTGATTACACAGCTGTATTCTCATCATCATTAGCCTATCGCAGTTCACTGCTAGACATAGGCCGCCCCCAATGTGCGCCATTTTACCGGGTCCTCGGCTTGTCGCATCCATTTCCTGCCAGTAACCTTTCGCAGGTCATCACTCCACCTGGCCAGAGGGAGTCCTACACTACGTTTGCCGAGTCGCGATCTCCACTCTAGAGCTCGTTTTCCCCATCAGTTATCGGTTCTTCGACAAATATGGCCAACCCACTACCATTTCAGCTTGCTCATTGCACGAGCTATGTCGGTAACCTTGGTTCTTTGTCGGATAACCTCATTACGAATTTGGTCCTTCAGAGAAACTCCGAGCATAGCCCGTTCCATAGCTCGCTGAGCGACTTTAAATTGATGGACTAGACGTATCGTGAGTCGCCATCTGTATTCTGAATGTATTAAATTTCATTGTGCGTAATATTTTCCGTTGAGTAAAATAATCATGTTACATCATTGGGCATCAGTTCCATGTACTCAGTTCCATATGGAACAATTGTAACCTTAATGGCGGGTTCACGAGTCTTTCACTCGCGTTTTTTGCTTGCTTGCGTGACTCGCTTCGCGCATACGCAAAGATCTGTCGCATACGCACAGGTACGACTGTTCACGAGTTGCTCGCTTGCGCCAGCCGCCTTGCTTTCCTTGTTTAAGCAACAAGGAACGTTTGCGGAGGACAGCACCACTGGCCAATCACAGAGCAACAGCGTCCACGCGTCCAGTACAAACAAAACAAAAGCATGGTGCCGCGCATGCGCGTAAGTCTCTCCGCAACGCAAAGCGGAACGCCATTGTGCGGAATGCAGATTTCTACGCCGTGTACCCAGCCAACGCAAGCAAGCGAAAAACGCAAGTGAGACTCGTGAACCCGGCATAATACGATTCAATTTCTTTTAATTCGCCTTCTAGGTGAATTAGGTGATTTTCAGATAGGTCATTATTCTAGAAAGCCATATACAATATATATATATATGTGTGTGTGTGTGTGTGTGTGTATGTATGTATGTATATTGTTCTTTCAGTGAGAAAAAAGTACCGGACACAGGAAAAAACTTTACAACACGAAGACTGAACGAGATAAAGAAGATCTTGAAGCAGCATCCGAGTCTGTGCGAAATCTTCCAGGCCAACACACGTTGCTGACACATAGTGCGCTTTATTTCTGAAACTCTATCGATACAAACAAAAAAAGGGTTCATTGCTATATTCCTAGTGGGATACGTGGAGTAACTACTTTACTTAGTAACCTTACTCATAATATGTTGAATAACCTTAACATATCGCACTTAATTTTGTCATACGTGTATACAATACGTGCAAAGGAAAGTGCTGTTGTAGTTTTCCATATCTGCTGTACCCTTACGTAAGTAGTTGTAAAATATGTTATAGTGGTTCCCCATACAAAAAGTCAATCAATTTGCGAATGATAATTTATCCCCTGCTTGTTAATGTTGCGTCGACTATAGTTATTGACTGAAATATTGCGCTTGTGTGTGAAAATTTTCTCTGGCCTAGAAGTTAAATACCGCTGGTATCATTAATTCATCATAACCCCTTCGCAACAATAAGTATGCATATTGGATCCAAAATAAATGATATAATAGAAACAACACCAGTTCTTGTACTCTTTTATTCTAAATCGATCGCAACATTCTAAAAACTAATAAAAATATTTTAATACACGTCTCAATTCTACTACCGCTATATAGACCAGAAAATTTCCTAAAACGTACGCGTCAAATAAAGACAAACAATATTTACAGGTGATGGTTCCTAGAAGCAAGACTTAGATAAGTTATTTTAGTATTTTTTTATTTACCTAGCACTGAAGTAATGTTATACAGTGTTCGAGTTACTTTGTAATTCTGATCAAATCTGGGTGATAAATCACGAACGGCGAGATCAAAACTCATAATCACTTCGAGAAACATAAGCAATATAGGCATACCATCAAACATGTCTGTTTAAAGTATTCACTAGTTCATGTAGTTATCCATACTTCTTTCTATTGGCTTACACAGTTCTATCACCTCTTTTTGTATTGCATCCTCTATCGTAGTCGGCAATGAAGGCATTCCAATTTGCACTTCTGTGATTATCCCCGGTTCACTATCCTTGAACACTTCGTCTTGCACCCCTTCAATATCAGGAGTATTTTCAACTTCTTTAAAAACATCAGATTTAATTCTATCAATATCAATCGTCATATCATCCACGTCCATAGCCAATTTGCTTTGTATTTGATGATATGAAGCTTTCGAAAACAACTTGCTCCTAGAATTTTTCAAAGATGGCAATTTGGAATCTTTTATATCTTTGGTTTCTTCTTTAATCTCAAATGTTTCTATAATTTCTTTGAAATCTTTATATTCTTTGCCTTCTTCTATGGGTTTAGAGTCAACTAGTTTAATAATGTCTATTTGTTTAAAATCAATTTGTTTGATATCAGTTAGTTCAATGTCATTTTGTTTACTGTCAGATTGTTTAATGTCAAATTGTTTACTATCAGATTGTTTAATGTCAAATTGTTTAATATCAGATTGTTTATTGGCTAATAGTTTACTATCAGATTGTTTAATTACAAATTGTTTACTATCGGAAAGTTTTATATCAAATTTTGTACTATCCGATTGTTTTATATCAAATTGCTTACTGTCAGATTGTTTTATATCAAATTGTTTACTGTCAGATTGTTTTATATCAAATTGTTTATCATCAGACTTTTTAATGTCAAGTTGTTTGCTGTCACTACGTTTAATAATTTGTTTACTAGAAGCGTTGTTTGGGATTAAGTCAATGATCGGTGAGGGTAATACTTCAAACGGCAGGTTGGAGGTAGAGTTGCTGTTTGAGACAACTCCTTCAGAATCTTTACGCCTTAATTGTTTCCTGTCCAGTTGCTTTTGTAATTCATTGATTCTCTCGTCTTTCAGTTTTATTAAGTCGTCAAGATGGCCCACCTGCACATACAGAAATAGTTTGTAATCGAGTTGTTGGTTAATTTTTTTTACATGACGGTTTCATTACAATGGACACCTATGTTGATAATATAAATGAGATATATTTATCTCATTACCTATTGGTATGCCATTAAAATTCATTTATAAAATATAAGTAGCCTTTAGGGAAATTTGAAACGATTTTTTTATGATACCAAGTGACACGACGCAAACCGAAACACAGTAATGCTCACATTACTGCTTGGCGGCAGAAATAGGTAAGGTGACAGTACTTTCCTGGACGAACTCTTTCACAAGGAAAACAGACATTATTAGAATTGACGTTTGACAAAATGTTTACTCGAATCTGGCTTATGGTAAACTACCAAGGCTACATGAGACATTGCAAAACTTTATGGGTACCTTACAATAGTTTTGCAGGTCACCGTGAGCGAGATAATCTCCCAGTCACTATTTATGTGTATAACTGATTTTGTACCTTCTGTCTGAGCATTTCTGCGGTCTCTTTAGAATCTTTTAACTCCTGTTTGATGTTGGTATAGGCCTCGTAGTTAACCACCTTCTGTTGTACGGTCTCCAATACCCCGTTTACTCGCATCTTCACAGGCACCACTAACACATGTTCTGTAAACAATAGGAAATGTTTCTATTGGTAATTAAAACTACGTAAAACGTACGAAATATGGCTGTCTGTCACATATCTTTTTCTTAGATTTGTCACACATCTGTTTCAAAAATTTCTGTACGATTCTTAGAATATGCCATATTTTTTCTTATACTAACCGCATTGGACAATGTTGATTTCTTTACATTTCATTACCAAATAAATGCATTGAAACAACAAAATGGGAAAAATAATTAACAATTAAACTACCGACCTATACACATTCAGCATTTGATAATTCTGTTCTGAAGAAACACCGCCAAGAGCGAGAAATTTGTTACCATGCGATGGGTTGTCGATCGACGTCTAATGCAAAGCGGAGGTGGCTATCCAATATTTTCCCAAGCAGTATAGACCTGGAGACTAGAGATGCCACGAATTGTGATTTGGCCGAATACCGAATATTCGGCCGAATCACCGAATATTCGACTGCCGAATGTTCTGCGTAAGATTGCATGTGGCTGTGCATTTCACGAGCGACCTGTTACGACCTGTCCCATTGTGCTTCGTGCAACGGGAGTGGGGTGTTTTTGTTGAAAAATTATAAAACGACAGTTTCCGGACCTATTTTGGAGAAGTCGCTACAGGTAATATGCAAAATGGTGAGGATGTGGAGAAAAGTTCTATTGCGTATGAGATTGATTTTTGTAGTAAAACTGTTCGCCTAAATCGGACAGTAGAGCCTTACAAGTGGTGGTCAGTAAACACAAAGCAGTATCCAAGCCTGTCAAAATTTGCTAAGATTTATCTATAATGTCCTGGCAGTAGTGTTTATAGTGAGAGCCTATTTTCAGAAGCAAGAATTGTTTATGAGGAAAAGCGTAATCGTTTGGTACCAACCAAAGCTGAAAAAATTGTTTTCATTCATCATAACCTGCCACTGATTGATTTTAAGTATTAAAGAAATAATTTGTGATTTTTTCATTATTTCATATTCGGTATACGGCCGAATAGTCGTAGTATTCGGCCGAATACCGAATAGTGACTGAATATTCGTGGCATCTCTGCTGGAGACGTCGACAATACCATGGTCCCTATTTTCTGCGTTCGACGGCCCCTTTACTAAATGCATCGCTTATACGTTTTTATTTTAAAAAAATGTGTGCGCATTTGACCTCTATGTCACCTGATGGTAAGTGACAATGAGGTCGACGATCGAGCATGCGCATAAATAATGCCTATTCACTCACGACATGAAAAGGCCCAAACTATAGCGTTTAGGTAATAAGTTTGCAGGTAGAGAATTCCACTTCGTAGCCGTTCGCCATACAAATGCGGAAGCGTAACACTTCATGCAATCTCTTGGTATATCCACAGCCTACGTCTAGTCCCCCGATAATAGAAAGCGCAATTCGATCGCACACTCTCCGTGATATATCCTGTAGAATGTCATTCGAAAAGACCCTTTCTATTTACGTTCGTGGTTACGTAATGCGTATTGCTAAAAATAATGGTTAGCATACCGTCGTCTCCGCAAGCTTCGTAGTAACTTCCGCCACTGGACATATTCTGCTCCCCTTCTTTGTTTGCCTTTTCTGCCTCTTCATCGCGTTTTATTTTGTCACGTACTGTAACCAAAGGAAACGGAATACCGTTTGATGCAGAGTGCTTAAATAATCGAATATTTAGTAAAAAAAAATTATATAATATTATATAATTTCTTTACTGATAAAACAGCTTTTAATATTAACGAATGACTATGAACGCCTATAACCTCAGTATCCGTACCAAAAATTACAAATGTTCTAACGGTTTTATTGTCACTACACTCCAAAAATGACGTACGTACACCGGTTCTAATCACAATACAAATACATCATCATCAGCCCAAGAATGTAGGTACAGCTGGGAACAGATCTTAGGAGACAGTTTAGGTCAACAAATGCCCGATGCGGGTTGGCGCCTTCACATGTTTCATAACCTTCTCTGATCCCTATATAACCAGAAATAGAGACAAAATGTAATTTAATTTGTTTGGAAACTTTTCTGCCAAATCATTACTGTGACAACTGCGCTCCGATTGGCCAGCCCGAATTCGAAACAATTGACGGGAGTCGTCAATTGTTTCACTTTAAATCGACCTTTGAATCACCTTTGAATCTTCAAATTGAACTTTGCTATAATGGATGAAAATTGCAAAATTACATATTTAATATTTAATTACCGATGAAATGTGATTCCGTTTGTTTTGTAATTAGATGTTTTGCTGTTTTTCCCATACCACCGAATAGAACAGCCCCCATTGTTAGAGATATTATCTTTATTACAATAAATATAGAATATTTTTGGAATATACGAAGGCGTACAAACAGGTCGATTGTTGGCGCTGTACTATTTCACTTTTCTAATTTGTCATTTCAGCGCAAACGAGAGTTGATATTTAAAAGTGATATAAGGCCCATTTACCTGATGAGTTGCCACGGATGGATACCCCTTATTTCGTCTCTATTTCTGGTTATACTCGTCGTTATACTCGATTGTAGGTTTAAAGTCGGTTCAAATCAAATTGTTTTCCTTCATCATTAAAGCAAGTGATAATTATCAAATTAAACTTGCACATGTTTCGTTAAGGCTTAGGCGGGCAGGCCCTTCGAGGGAATCCAACTTGGGACCCACCTAGAAGACAAAATTTCCATTCCCACAATTTACAAGTATTTTCATAGTCAAAAGAAGTTCTCAACCTTACATTTCATTCGTACTCTTAGCATAATAAAGCCACGTGTGATCACGTGGTAAAAGTGCTTTTGTCACAAGAAATTTATTTTTTATAATATCAAGTGACGGGACGAACAAGTCGTGCACCTATCCATAACAGTTGCAGTGCCACTCAGAGCTTTAAATCGCAAAGATCTAAGGGGCACTGACACTGCGCCCGTCACCCTGGGACATAAGTTGACCAGTCCCATGTGCCTGTAATTTCACCAGCTCTCTTACCCTTCAAAACCGGAACTACTACTGCTTGACAGCTGGAATAGGTAAGGTGGCTTCCTTGTACAAACTCTTTCACAAGGAGCTCTAATGCTGCTAGTCATCAATATTTTTAATATAATGTATATTTCATAAAAATATTTATCACATGAAAGTAAAAATAAAGTATTATAAAAAGTCATGCGGTGCACGATAGATATGCTTCTCGCATGACGTACGTAATTCCTTTCATGTAGGTATATCTGGCGCACCGTATGTAACAATCGGCGAGTAGGAAGGAACGTTACACCGATTGGCAAATCCTTTTACCATGGCAAATATAAGTTTGCCATCGATACGATAAGAAAAAGACATGAGAGTCATAAAAATAATACGAACTATATGAAAAGAATAATGTATATGTGAAATTTTATAACTCCCCTACTTAAACACGAAAAAGCTATCGACTCATGCCGACAGACGTGGCCTTACTCTAAGTATAGTATGCGAATTTCTTATTTATATTTGAGATGATAAAAGATACTAGAGGAAATTCCGCTGTAAGGGCGCCTTCAAATGAGACGCTTATAAAAGCGCAGCAGTGGCGCGGTAACCGCTACTAATTTTCATACAATATTTAGAAGCGCAGCTGCAGCGCCACTTTTGCAGACTAACTTATTGTACGAAAAATAGTAGTGGCGCAGCACTGCAGTGCTTCTACAAGCGTAAAATTTGAAAGCTAAACAAAATGTCACGTACCCATGACAAGTACTCTTTCAATAACACCCGGCACACTGTTAGCGAGTTGTTCCATGGTATGGGCGCAAAGATTGAGCTTTAATTTCTTGAGCACCTTCCTGTTTAATGTCATCCAGTTGTTGAGCTTGAGCGCGTGACTGTTCCTGGGAGGGTAGTTGTGCATTTCCACCAGTTTTGGATAGTTTACGCTAAGAATTTCGGCTAGAAGTACTGTTGACAATTAATAGAATATAATAGACAGTCGACGAAAAAGAGAGGTAAAATGGCAATTTACCTACAATTTTAAAAATAAATGAACGAATATCCCGCATCGAAGAATGAATTTTTCCCATGACTCTAGGTCGATAACTCCCAAAGTGATCTCCACCGACCCCCAGGGTCCATGTCAGCGAAAAAAATACAAGGCGCATGAGACGTTAATGAACGACCACAAGAGTGGAAACCAATTAGGCAGGTGGTGACCAAAATTTTGACTTTCCATAAATGGAATACTCTACATTACACAAGAAACAAGATATTCGCTTAGATAAATGTGAAAAACTTAAAATCAATTTATTTTTTATTTATAAAGTTTTTCACTAGACTGTGTCATTTGCTAAACACACATTTGAAGTTGATGAGTTTGTGAAATATTCAATATTACAAAGGCAGGGAGTCTATACGTGGTACACCAGACAAATAAATTTAGGAACCTCTGCTATAGTATGATAAAGTTAGTAGTATGATAAAAAATGACAGTGAAGCAAAAATTTCAAGTTTTGCTTTTGCCGGGTGCCATTATGCCGGACATACACGCTACGGACCATAGTACGGTACACCAGAGAGGTCTACCTGTGCAGGTAGGCCGCTTGCCGTAGCGTAAGTTCTATACTGAGAATACTACACAACTACTGATTTAGTGGCATTGTGTTTCTTTTATTTTTTCTATAAGCATCTTATAACCAGCTTCTGTAGAAATCAAATGGCGCGACCTGCGCAGGCGACCGTAGTACACGCACACATGCACAGGTTCACCGTACGGTGTCACTCAAAAGAATTGATTTTCGATCTTGCGTCAGTCGCCTGCGCAGATATACAAAACTGCACAGGTCTGTTCCAACACACGTTTCGATTTGCCTGCACAGATACACCTGCTCAGGTAGACCTCTCCGGTATACCGTAGCGCCTCCGTGGTTAAGTCGTTTGCACACCGGTTTTGTTTCGATCCCTGGCCGGCTCCGTGTAGAAAACTAACTTTTCTATATTGTCTCGGGTCTTGATGCTGTCGTTGTTCTGATTTCATAACCCAAGTGGAATATAAGTGCTTTATTTAATTTGGGACCAGAGCAACCTATGTGATGTTGTCCAATATTTATTTTACCTCTATAAATTTATGAGTATGTGCCACTAGATTCTCATACCTTAGACATTATATGCTGAGTATTAAGGAGGGAGAGCGACTGCAGGCAATATTATTTTCATTATTTCTGCCGCCAAGTAGTAACGTAAGCATTATTATGTGTTCCAGTTTTGAACGATAGATAATGGTGCGTACTCGTATGGGCAATATGGCGCGTATGGGCAAGTTCGCGGAACGGGACAGTCCGATTTGTATCGAGAGCATAGGCGGCGCGTTTGAAGTTACCGACCAGCTGCGGATCCAAGCCAGCCGCCATGGGCGACCACGGGCGTCTTAAGGCTGATGAAACTACAGGCATATGGGACATGTCAACTATATGTCTGAGAGTGACGGGAGCGCAGTGGCAGCGCTTCACATATCTTTGCGATTTCAAGCTCTGAGTGGTAGTGCAAATATTATAGGCAGGCGTGTCGCTTACCACCAAGCGTACGACGTGATCGTCCCATCACTTGATTAAAAAAAGGCAAACAAAAAGTTATGAACTTTTTGTGTGTAATAAGAATAACCGCCTAATTGAACGGTTTTTTTTTTGTTAGATGTTAGATCTGTCATGTAGGTGCGTATTGGACACAAAAATAGGGCCGTTTATCCTATGCAGGTGCAATTTATTAAAATGAACTAAAATATGTAAACAGACAATAAGGAAATAGGCAATAAAACAAAAGTAAAATCTGGACACAAACAATCTATAAAATAAGGAAAAACTTAAGCGGAGTAAAATTGCTACGCTTATCTCCTCGTTACAACAACAATGGTAAGGTTACTGCGTTAGAGGTAATAAAATCTAGGTAACTTAGTGTACCTACTGGGGAAGGCAAAAACTAAGTCAGTCGGTAATGGTCTAGGGAAAGTTATAACGGTATACTGATTTTCTGCAAGCAAATTGTAGTCACTTTTCTTTTTTTTTATAACACTAAGTGACGGGACGAACAAGTTGTGCACCTCGTGGTAAGCCTGTCTATAATAATTGCAGTGCCACTTAGAGCTTTAAACCGCAAAGACTTGAGGGACACTGCCACCTCGCCCGTCACCCTGATACATAAATTGACAAGTCCCATGTGCCTGTAATTCCACCAGCACCCTTACCCTTTAATGCTCACATTACTGCTTGGCGGCAGAAATAGCTAAGGCAGGGCTTCACTGGACGAACTCTTTCGCATCTATTGGATGACTAGAAGCAGTAGAACTCCTATGATTATGTCTCAGGATGATGGGCGCAGTGGCAGTACGCCTAAGTTTGCTAACAGAGTGACTGCATGTAATCAACTTCATGCAGTCGTGGTCTCGGATAACGACTTCACACATTAACTGCATGCAGTCGAAACTGACTTCACGCAGCCGAGATCAATTAACTGCAATCATGTTTGCGAAGCTCTGAGTTCCACGTACAAAATCACATCGAACACCTGTCACTTAGTATTATATCGGATCATGTAGTAACTTTCTATTTCAAAAGATTGTTGTAATTGTAATGGTTACGAAGGTCTAAGCCATTTTTCTATGCAAAAAAGTCTTAAATACCAAAAACACATAGGGAAATTCGTAAGGTGCGTTGGTTCGTTCCGTGGCGTAATTGGCATAGCCACGGTTTGCTGGAAGACGTTGGTTCGAATCCAGCCAGATCGAAGGATCTTTTTCTTAGTGTTCTATCTTTGTATTAATAATCATAACGTGCTTGTATTAGGTAATTTATTACAAATTGCATTTTTCATCATTTTCTCAGAGTGAAAGCGGTAACCTATCACAAACTCGAATTATTTTTTTCCGAAATCACGTTTGTTCGAATTTTCATTACCCCGGAAACCGAATTATAATAAAACCATTGTTCTTTCAGGAAATGTTGGATGTTTAACGCAAAGACAGAATTAGGTTCGGTTAAGTTACGTTTAAAAGAAAAACATTTTCCTCTCAAAATTACTTTCGAAGTTATGAAAATTCGAGCAAACGTTATTTCTGGAAAATGTCGTTTCGGACGTCTGGTGGGTAACCAGTGAAAGCTCGTTACGTTGGTAATTTGGCGAATAATAATATTAAGTTCAAATACGTTTGATTAATTATAATTTTACCGTATATAAAAATAACGATTAATAAAATTATAATGTCTACAAAGACCTTCTCGTAACGTCGCTGTGGTCTATTTTCGTAAAGATAATAAAAGACTAGTAACTTTAGTCACCACAAGTAATTTATTTTAATTAGATTATGTGCAATGATACAACTGTCTGAAACTCAATATTGTATATAATTCAATTGAAGTTGTAATTATTTACACTCACCATTTACGTGTTTTATGCGAAATTGAATATATGCGAATTTTATATCACATTACACAAGAAAAAAGTAACATTACTGTACACGAAAATTATCTGCAATTTGAAAGCAGCTAGATCAGTGGTGATTTAGACAGAAAAATGCGTTATTTCACACATACGAAGAATGTTTAAAAAACTGATATAACGCAGCCTTGATCAAAGTCAAAGTGTAAAAAACTTCATAGGTACGCAAATTACAACAGATTAAATAGATTGCTCGTTGTAAATAAACATTTGTATACATTTGTCATTTACAATATTTATTTCAAATATCATAGATCGAAACTTCCTGCAAAAGGTAAACGGGCACTACCACGAATTTTTGTCATCCAAGTACGCAGAAGCAGTAACCCTATAGAAGAAAGTTTTTGTTTCACTGAAGTTTTAAGCCTCGCGTTAAGGTCGTTTTCCACCAGCGAGGCGAGGATAGACGAGGCGAGACGAGAAACACGATTTCCCGCGCGATATCGCCAGTACCCTTACAGTCTCGCACGAGCTTGCGATGGCTATTAATATCAATCGCGAGATTGTAGGGTACGTTCGGTTTGAGATTTAAAAAACGATGGTTTCATATGATTTCTCTTCCGTTAACATATATAATTATAATAATGAAATCATTATGGGACATGTTACTTCCGCGTATTTATCGATGAACTGAACAGCACTGAATATTCACTATCTACAATCACAGCGCGTGCTTGCGCGAGATCGCGATGCATCGCGCCATCTATTAATGGCAATTTTTGGTGGAAATAGTCCGGCGAGATTTCAATTCTCGTCTCTCCTCGTCTCTTCACGCTTCGCCTTTGGAAAACTACCTTTAGTCTGCATTTCCATCAGAGATGTGCTACGTAACGAAGCAGTGTGCGAGGAAGAAATCCATCAATACGATTATTTCATTTTCCTAGCCTCGCTTAGCGCAGCTCCGGTGGAAAAGGGTTTGTACATACATAATCTGTGCGAGAGATGTGTGCGAGGGATGCGGGCGAGGAATGTGTGCAAACCGGTGTAGGAAACTACTGAAAGTATGACACTAACTGACACTGACATATCGCCACCGCTCACCCCACCACACCGTATGGGCAGCCTAAGAGTGAATACCTAGTTTGTGATTTGAAAGTATATTTTCAGAAATAACAAAAAAGTATGCTGTAAAATATAGCCACGCGACTTGTTTGTAGTTAGCAGTTAAATTCGTACCCTAGGTATAACTTATTTTTTTAAATGTTATAGTACCATTGACATAATCGGTGATTCCGCCAATGTCAAATTCAGGAAGGCACGCGTTTACAACTTAAGTCAGTGACTGGTGAATTTTGATGATATGACACTGAGAGGAAAGCCACATGTGACCATACGTCAAAAGCGCCTTAAAGTCATAAAAATAATATGAATTAGCAGCACAGCATACACGCTTTGTACATACTCTTCTATTAATTGTAAGTTGGTCTCCATTTAAATCTTTTTGTTATTATTAGTAGTTATTCTACCTAAAGTATGAACGTTTTCTAGGTATGGACATTCCCATTTCGTCATTAATACGTATAAAATTTTGTTTTTTACTGTTTATTTTCTAAATAGTCCAAAATATAGGTTATCTATTGTTTATTTTGTAAATGGCTAAAATATTTAAATGCGTAAATACCTATACAAACAAAACTACCATATTATTTTTTGAGACCAGCTCCCAAATCGTTCTACTTTAGTTTTGATTATAGTCACCCTCCCTACCTACCCTTAGGGCATATTAGAAGGGCACTATAACCTGTGCACGCACAGGATCTTATAAGTTCAGGTTCTGACTCCCGATCAGCCAGTATACAGGGTTGTCAGAGACCTCTGTCATTTGATTTCATCCGGTTCTTCGAGAGGCTAGTGCCTCGGGTGAGTCGCCCCGGGTGCACGTATAGTACCCTCCCTATTTTCCAGATAGGCACCGGAGCTGTAGGCACGCTCACTTCTCGTTGTGCATTTCACAAATAGCGGTTGCCACCGCTGAGCCGTCGACTCTGAGTCCACTACCAAATTTCCTCATTGGCGGCGGAGGTGTAAGGCACGCTCACTTCCCGACGCTGAAAAACGACGTCTCTCCAGTTCCCAATAACCTAAGCGGCTGGAGGGACCGGAGGATATCTAGCTTATCCTCTACTAGCTCTCCGGGTTAGTGCCGGAGATGCCGGTCGCAGTGTCCTGCGACAATGTCCGGATATAGCATCCAACTTAAAAAGCAACTCACGTGCCCCGCGCGTCTCCTCGCTTCAGGCCTTCAACTAGACCGCTACAAAGACGCGCTAGCTGCTCACGAGACAGACGCCCCGGAAACATGCAAAGTCACAAACCCCAGCGAGTCCATAAGGGCGTATCAGTCGCGGAGAGCTTGGCCCGGACGCCCGGTGTACCCTGGTCTTGCCGTCGAGCCCGTAGTCTCTCTATAGGAAAACCCTATCTCTCGGGTCGGTAAATAGGGATTTTTGGATACAATATTTTGTAGCAAATACTTTAGTAGCAGTAGAGCTCCTTGTGAAAGTGTTCGTTCAGTGAAGTACTGCCACCTTACCTATTTCTGCCGCCTAGCGATAATGTGAGCATTACTGCGTTCCTGTCTCGAAGGGTAAGGGTGCTGGTGAAATTACAGGCACATGGAACTTGTCAACTTGGCTCAGAGTGTCGAGCGCAGTGGCAGTGTCCCTAAGATCTTTGTGATCTAAAGCTCTGAGTGGTACGCAACTGTTATGAACAGGAGTGTCGCTTACCACGAAGCGCAAGGCTTGTTCGTCCCGTCACTTAGTATTATAAAAAGTAAAAAACTTAATATGAAATAATAATTTACCGCCAATGTACTCTAATTTCAATAACTAATGCGCAAATTCAAAATATAATCAGTACCGAGAAATCCCGAGATTTGTAAAAGGGAATGTCCAAGATATTCTTCAGTTGATTGAAATTGACTCACTCAATTCCGTCATTGGTTATTATTATCACAAAATGCATGTGTACTGTTTCGTTTCTTTTTTCAAGGCATAAACTATTTCTATTAGTATTTCTTTTTCTTTTTCTAATTGCATGAAACAAATTGTGAAATTTTATATAACTCCCCCAATTAAGCATTAAAATGTTATCGGCTAATTACGTTCGAAAAATCTTTAAACCTCTACTGCAAAGTTGCCATTTTGCAGATGTGGCGTTATTACACCATGAGTGCGAATTATACTTCTTTTGGATGTTATCTCTAATGAAATATATACAGTCCCGAACACCATACTTTGAACCACCTCGCATTTCCAGTATTAAATGCCCTAAACTTAAACAATGTTTGATTGATCAAAAACTATTAACCAATTTTGAAACTACTATACTAAACGTCTTTTCCATAAATCCTTGTTGGAAATTTGGATTTGCAAAACCCGGGGGAAAACATTTTCTTTGACGATAACACTACTTTTGTATTCTAGTGCTTTAAAACAAAAATGCGAGGTGGCTCGAATTATGTGTCCGGGAGTATATTTAAAAAAAGTTTTGCCTTAACAAAAATTTGTTAAAATATGTAATAATGTATAGACAATGTTTTCACCCTAAGGTGAAAACGAGTTAGCAAATTTCATAAAGACAGTACAGCAATAACCGCTAGATAAAATTATATGAATCCAAACCTGCATCAGCAAAATCTCTGTTTATCTTTTTAGTAGGTCTCGACAACTTGAAAGTGTCGACCCATGCCAGCACGGATTCTATTTCCGACAAAGGAATAGGTGACCCCAGTGTACTACTCGTCGTCATTGTCATTGTACAAATTTTTATTAATACTATAATGACTTGTAACAATTGTAAATGATTGTTGTTATTTCCGGTTTTATCTTTACTGATTGTTGGACAATATTAATTTCGGATGTTTGTCTCGCGCTGATGACGCAAATAATTGTCACATGTGATATTTTGATTTGTGTTTTTTTTTTGTTGAATAAAGAGATTATATACTGCCCGGTGGTTCAGTCGCTGAATGGGCTCTTGACGAGAACTATTAGATCGATTCTCGATAGAATCAAACGAATAGAAGCAAACCTTTCTATGTTGATTTTGCTTTGGGTGTTGTCGTTAGCTGCCCCCGTAGTTAATTTTGTTACTCTGAAGAGACCTGATAATAAATTCTCACCTTTAGTGCAATAAGGTCACATCTGCAAAATGACTTTTTTCTTTAGTAGCAGTAGAGCTCCTTGTGAAAGGATTCGTCCAGGGAAGTACCGCCACCTTACCTAAACTGCCTCCGTGGCCGAACGGTTACCATGCCGGACTGCCACTCAGAGGTCCCAGGTACGATTCCCGGGCCGGGAGAAATATTTGTATGGCCTACATTTATTTCTCTCGTGAGTTTGGGTGTAATTTGTGATTGTCTATGTGTGTGTCCATGGCACACGCGACACAGCCTCTGCCTAGTGCGGGCTATGTTGAGTGTATGCGTTATTATTATTAAATATTTATTTACCTATTCCTATCGCCAAGCAGTAATGTGTGAACATGTCACATGGAACTTGTCAACTTATGTCGCAGGGTGACGGGTGCAGTGGTAATGCCCCTCCGAACTTTGCGTTTTAAAGATCTGAGTGGCACTGCAACTGTTATGCTTGTCGCTTCCTACTAGGCTCACGACTTGTTAGTCTCGTCACTTGGTGTAATAAAAAAGAGAGGTTTAAAGATTCCACGGATGAAATGAATAGATAACTTTTATTATGTTAAATAGGAGAGTTATAAAATTTCGCATAATACACATATTTCATTTTTTATTGAATTGATATTCAATTATTTTTTTGGGAAATTACTCCACTAGTTTGTTATAATTATTAATACAAAGATACAATTTATTAATACAAAGAAGAAGAAAGAAAGAAGAATACGAACACTTAGAAAAAATTCCTTCGATCCGGCCGGATTCGAACCGACGTCTCCAAGTTCCGTTCAAGCCACGGAACGAGCCAGCGGACCTCACGAATTTTTGTATGTGCCGGTTGTCAAATCTTTGTATTTGGTTTCCAACGACTTTTTAGCCGTAGCGCCATCTGCGAGAAATCTATGAATACACATAACACCTTGCTTCATCATGCTTAAAGGTCCACAAAAAAATCTCCAAATTATGTACCTGCTGTAAGAAAATCACCATCTTTCTGCAAATAAAACCACTTATTAAGTTTATAGCTTTATTGTTATTGAGTTTCACATGCAGAAAGATAGTGATTTTCTTACCATGGCCCTGATTTTAATTCAAATCGGAATTGATGGTTCGGAAAAGACACAGTTTCCGATCGGGAGAGGTAATCAAAATCGAGCTGCAGAACTAATAAAGACTTTTTGTAGAAAATGTCACTTATGTGGTTTTACTTTTAAACAGATGATAATTGTTTCGTTTAGTTCGTTTATTTTTGTAAATTTCATGTGATAAAAGCACTTTTGACGTACGATCACATGTGGTTTTGTTATACCATGGGCACAAATTATTTCCATCAACCAATATTAAAGTATTTTCAAAGATTAAATGTTAAAAAGAAAGTTATGACTTATGACGTATGTCGAAGTCTCCCGTATTCAGCAATAGAACGATTACGATTTCTCATATAGATAATATATTATCGACGTGTAGTCCAATGTAAATTGATCTAACCAACGTTTTCTATTAGAAAACCTCTAGATCAATCAAAAACGATAATTTACATACTTTACACACTCATTATATTTATCCAGTACAACTTGAGCTCCACTTAGAACTAAACCAAATGATTTACTAATATCAGAATCTGGAGATCACATTGATCTTCTCGACAACGATCTTTGTAGAATTCGTACCAATCTCCTTAAATATTTCAACTCGTCTTCTCATTAGTAGTGCCAAGTCAATATCTTTGTTAGTCTTTAGTCGCATTAGTTTTAAGTTTGCAATCTCACTTCTCTCTCTTTTCATTGCAGTTCTCATGCAAATAAGTTCACACTTCGAATAATAACGCAGTATGTACAAGTATTAGGCTTACATTCTCAAACATGTTCCACAGAATGTAAACTGTTTTGTACATCAAATAAAATAAAAATAAACCGAAGAGATAAAAAAATTAATTACACACAACACTATACGGTTTTTAAACTAATTTGTGTTTTGTTTTCAGTATCTCAGTTTTTGTTGTAATATAAAAGTGAGTTATTGACTTACTTTAACCTAATCATTATTTTGTATTTTTGTTCATTAACTTTTCCAATGTTTTATTGAAGAATCAATATCCGAAGTGACAGACCTGGTTGCCTATATTACAAGCTTATAATGTAATATCTCTGACTGGTATGTTATATTTTGATTCTAGTGTAACTATGATGTTTGTGGAGAAAATTATTATTATTATTATTATTTGGTTAGTTATTAAAAAAACATCTGTCTACATAATTTTACAAATACCTACATTCCTTTACACTGGATGAGGCATAATAATCTCGTAGACATTTCGGCGTTAACCCATCAAACGAACCCGGGAACACCTCATCTAGCAATCATATTACCGATCAATGAGCCAACAATGTACAAAAATTAATAATAAAAATAATAAAAAACGGTATTAGGGCAGGGACAAATGGCATCCTTAATATGATAAAGCACATGAGTGTGATCATGCGCCAAAAGTTTATGTACATGTGAAATTGTATAACTGTCCTATTTAAACATCAAACGTTATTAAAAATTTCTCTGTTGAAAAGTCGTTATTTTGCAGATGTAGCCTTATTATATCGAGGTTGCAAAATATAGCTGAAAACACGTGGTTAAATTAGATGCCTGAATAAGTTACAACATATTTTGAGAGTAAATAAAACAAGCCAACAAATTTAACTTTCTGCCATTATACAAACTGAGAGAAATGGCTGATTTGACTTACTTACGACTTACTGACTACTTACGATTGCCCTGAACTCCTTGAGCAAATAGGACTACGCACAAGCAAGGTTGCATAGAGAAATCCTATCACACTTTACGTTCTTAGGGAAGGACAAATTATAGACAAAATGCATTTTTAAATAGAGCGTATCGCTAATTAAACTCCTTAGTTAATAGATATGGTGAGGTGGACTTGTTCAACACCAGTTTCTACAGGTAAACTAAAACACTTACTCAGTGATATGTTTTTTTCTTCAAATATGTAGATACTATACATGTTTAACGTTTTTAATTTCGTTATTTTTATTTAAGTATTATGTTTTTTTTCTTTAAGTCGGCAACTTACTTTGTAGTTTGTTTCTATCACTTCAAATAATTATTTATTGCACTTCAATTAATTAATAATCTGTGGAATCTTTTAATTAGCCCACAGCATACATGCACTGGCCTGTCAAAAAAAAAAAAAAAAAAAAAAAAAAAAAGGTGTGTATTTATTCTATTCTTGTTACCTAGCTGTAAATTTTCCAAAAATAATAAAAATAAAATAAAACACAAAATATTTCTCAATAGAAAACGTCCCAATAGAAGTAATAACACCAAAGGAAACTACTGTGACTTTGTTTACTTGCCACATGCTTACCACCAAGTTTACATAGGAACCTTCTATATCTATGGTACCTACACTTGAAAGCGAACCTATATAGCCGGCAATAGCGCTGTTTACAGCAAAATTCAATACTTACTTATCAGAGTTGCAATTTTACTTGACACCTCGACTCAAGCGGCATTTTTTCCATTAAACGAAGGAATCAATGTGACATTTATTGCTTTGGTATTAGATTCTGGTCCACAAGTCCGTATTCCACTTTATCACCGAGGTAGGACTTTATTTGTAAATTTTTAATTAATATACCCAGAAAACCATATGACGCGAAAGTATATTTTATTTGTTTTTATAAAACCAAGTAACGAGACTAATCAGCATTTTGATTTTGATTGCCTCTCCCGACCGGAAACTGCGTCTTTTTCGAGTCGAGGCGCATAATTGCGATTCACAACTGACCGATCGGAAACTTTTAACATTTCTAATCGGAACAATAGTTGATTTAACTCACAAATTAGAAAGGTGTAGTAGGAATTAGGTTCATCTTCTCGCTCAGAAACCCATCTGATTTCGAGACTACCCGATAGGAACGATTCCGATTTGAATCAAAATCAGGACGCAGCTGCGCCTGGTGTTAAGCGACACACCTGTCCATAGCAGTTGCAGTGTCATGTGCATTAAATTGCAACGATCTGATAGGCACTGTCATTGCGCCTGCACACTGAGACATAAGTCGACAAATCCCATGTGTCTGTAATTTCCCTAGCCCCCTTACACTTCAAAATTGGAAGACAGTAACATTCACATTACTGCTTAGCGGCAGAAATAGGTAATGTGACAAGTACTTCCCTGGACGAACTCTTTCATAAAGAACTCTATTGCTACTAACAACCGTGTTATCTTTTTGTCATTAATCTTTTTTCATATTTACACAGTAAAGTTCTAGAATATTCCGTCGCTTCAAATGAGGCTGTGTTAGTACGTCCGCCGGTACAGAGAACGTAGTTTCTCGACACACAAAAACTTTCTCGTGATATTTGCGTTTTCACGTCGCCATTGGCGCAACGTTTTTAGATAGCTTTTGTTTTCGTACAGTCAGGTACACATTACTTAGGCTGAGATTTACAAAACGAACTGTGCTTTAATTTTAAGCAAGAAATTACGAAATAAACTTAAAGTTTTATTTAATTTCTTGCATAAACTTAGGCAAAGTTCATTTTGTGCACATGAGACTAGTGTACTTATGTCTTTGGGTAGCGAACTCGGGGGAGTTCGCTGCACAGCATGGAGGGGCCCGAGGTGGGAGGCTCGTCTGGTGTCCGGCGAGCCTTACATTTGGAG